GTGTTGGCAATATGCATGTATTGTTTTACTAAGATGCCATCGCTGTGTAAATAAATATGTTGAACTACACGTTAATTTTTTGTCTTAATGCCTCTCTAAAAACCTTGAAAGATTTTCGAAACGGCGATTCATAAAGACGAGTTTGTTATACTACTTAACATATCGAGAGGTTGAGAAGCATAAAATATGTTCTGTGATATCAAGATCGAATATTTACACGTTTATGTCGTACCCACCTTAAGCAAGCCGATGATATCCTACATTTCAAGTTTTATATAAGTTTGCTATCCAATCGCACAAAAGTAAGGGAAGTCTACGTTATCTCAACTCATTGATGCATTTACGATCGCAAAAACAGTTGACCAATTATATGTAAGCAATGTCAAAGCAACGTCCGATAAAGAACGAGCCGCAATCAACAACAAGTCATTCAGTGACAAGAAGACGGTCACGGCAACTTCAAGACGACTCAAATTAATCTTCAAACAATAATGTATCCAAGACAAACAGTTAATAGTTTAATACGATCCAGCGTGCGCACCATCGTCGATCGGCATCACATACACAGCGCAAAGATCAGCTCAGTATCCGACGACACTATCTTCATCATGCCTCACAATATTCACGTCCAATATCACCGCAGTTAGAACCATCTTCGGCTTAGGTCACGACACCGGTTCGCCCATTTCGTGGATCCTGTATGTAGAGCGGGTGACCCAAACTTCAGTAGCCGTTTCCATGACCAAAATCTAATCAATACTCAGATGTAGAGGCAGCAGCCGGTGACTATGGCGGATCAACCGGTTCGCAAAAACACGCCCATCATTAGGTATCTAAGTGTCAGCAATCCGCTGAACGGCAGCATGCCGTTCAGCATAGCTGGCAGCAATTCATAGGGGTGATCGCAAACTTTCATCGATCCTGCAAACATCATTGTTTTCGTTGCTGCGTTCACGTCATCAACACAGACGAACACTTGCGTATCAATCCAGCCGCTAGAATTTAAGACGTTCGTCACACTAACGCTCACTGAGGGCATTAAATTGTTTCCCAGGCGAGACACAAAGTGCTCAAAATTGAAAATACCATCGAGCTTCAATCATTCCGTGCTTGAACAGGTCAACGGAATAATCTTAACCAATACTGCTTTAAAACCCTTCCATAGATGTCCATGTGTGTAGAAAATGACGACCTGTCTATAGCCACTCATGTCCTGCGTGACGTTGGTCGGTGGCGAAAATCTTCCAAATTATGTCTACATGAAGGCACCCAGTAGCTAATATCGACTAGTAAAATGTAATTGACGGCATTATGCAGCCAGATTCCGGGCAGTAGCAGAAGCACGAGCGATGACGGTAAGAGCGACGGTAACGCATGACGAGCGGGAGTAGGATTGACGGTACCGTACAATACTATCTGTTTCGTTGGCCAAAACATAAAGCGCTGAAAGTAGAATGGTCTATCACTCCGTTACGCGCTCTTGAGAACTATAATGATAAGGCACCACGCAGCAAAGCCCGCCTCTCCTTGTGCGCACTGTTCTGCGCTGCGTCGCAGGTCAACGATTCTTCTGCTTCTTGTAACGATTATTATGTGCCTTAGACATCGACCGTAAATTTTTTAGAATTGGGAGCGTTGAAGAACATCAATTTAATTTAATAATTTAAAGACCTGAAAATACAACAACTTGTTAAATGTATGGGGTGAAGGCTCGTTAGCGAATACTGTCGACTCATTAGCGGTTCGATTTGTTTAATATGGATGTATTTATAATCAAATCGATCCTTCTGATTTTGATTTTTTCACAAAGGGACCTCTTCGTACCGAAAGCAAAAATAATCGAATCTCTATATATTACTATGTACATATTTATGGGGATTGTTTAAACGCTGAAGTGTGCAGAGAAAGTTCATGAAACATCATTTATATTGGCGAGAGCGTGAAAACTAAGATAAGCTGCATACGCTTTTTGTTGTTTCCAGCGACAAGAGGGAACCAATGGTTAATGAGTTTACTACCATACCAATTGACATTCAATAGCATGCCTTCTATTCCACCTGCATGCGCCTACACCCGCGCATTCGGGCTTTGTCAATTTTATTTATATGCCGTCAGGTTAGGATCTTGCGACACGCCTTGGATCTTATGATGATCATTATAAATAGGATGCCTTATGCTTTAAATGATTCAGTTAGTATTGCATTACTGATACCCGTGACTCATTCTGACCGCGATCATGTCAAACACAAATTCATGCATGGATGAGCTCTTAAAGCCAGTGTCTGGTATGATACTGTAACCGATAAAGTTATCACAGTTTTTATGAATAAACTGAAGTTCTCCTTCGACATTACATGCAGCGATTTTGCGACCTCATAATTACCACCTCGATTTTGCCTTTGTAATTATTTCCATGACACGTGAGCATTAATTGAGCCTCAAGCGCGAAAGTGTGATAGCTTGAGTCGTAGGGCTGCATAATTCCCGAAAGTCAACGCAAATTAAAGACACTGCAACACACGACATGTACGTTCCCTACGTAAGCCAAATCACCCAAGGAGAGGGCTAAATCGTGTCAAGCGGTCCGGGTTGTGTGGCATCCCGGTTTCGAAAAAATACAAAGTGTATCCTATTGAACGATGGTCCACGCACCTGCTAGCGCACAAACATTGCTAGTTAACAGGACAGGGACATGATGGCCTCTCTGAATAGAGTGGTAATGGTGACACAACATAAGCTGAATGCCTATACCACATGTAACGGGGTTATACAAAATGTGTGGTTTACACCAGGGACGTAGTCCCATTAAAGATGATATCAGATCATCATATCAGTTGTTGGGGCTGACGTGTGTCAGCCACCGAATTGCGTGATCTTTTAGGAGGTATTAACGAGGATATTAGTGTCTAGATTAAGTACGCTCGTCGGAGGTGTTATTTTGGATAAAAAGAAAGGATATTGCTAAATTCACACCCCTCTTCCTTAGATTCACACCCTTCCTTCAAAATCTTATATATAAAATCCCTATTCATTTCGAACAGATAGCGCGAGGCGGTACAGAGCCCAGACGAGCCATAGCCGAGAGCTCACTTGCATGAGTGTATAGCCCACTGGGGATCGCACAAAGCCCACGGCATCGTGCACGATATCCATTACGGCCATAGTCTGAACCACTTTGAGCGGCAGTGACACAACGTCCCACGGGATTTGTGCCACTTGTCTCCAGTCCAGATCGCCACCTTCACGCGCCTTGAGGACGTTGTCACTGTTAGGTATAACACGGACGCCCATCCGGCGCAAGAGACGTCATTGAAAGCCAGCAGGTACAAATTTAGTTGCGAGTACTACGCATACAAAACGAAGGAACTACGGTCAGCCTCTGCGTTGCAACCTGGACACTCGTCTGTATCTCCTCTTGTTCTCACCTTTTTGGCCTGCACGACTGTTCGTGGAAAGTCGTCAAGAATAAAGCCACGACGGCATTCCGAACTCTTGATGGCGTCCTCAATGATACCGACGACAATCTCGTCGGTCACAAGTGCGCCCGACTCCAACGCGGCTTTGATCTTTTTGCCTATGTCGGTGCCAGCAGCTACAGCAGCGCGCAAGATGTCGCTCGTAGCCAAGTGGCAGAAAAAGTACTCGTCGTTGTTCAACGGCGATTGCGTACCTTGTATATATAAGATTTTGAAGGAAGAGTGTGAATCTAAGGAAAAGGGGTGTAAATTTAGCAATTCCCAAAAGAAATAAAGTCCAGTTTCCCTTTTGATTTGTCAAAGACACGTGTCTTGAGATCGTTAAGAGTATAGCATACGCCTTGTTAAGACAGATACTCTTGAGCATTATGTGCTGTGGTTCTTTGAATCGATTGGTCCCTGGAACAGGGACCGTAAGATTTAAGCTTGTTGACTCGCTGAGTCGGGTTCTTTGAACCAAGTTGATTGTTGAGCGTTTAAGTCTTACTCTGAATAAACGAGATTTGTAGCTCCACTACACCATACGTACAGAAGTTGAACGCTTGATATGGTGCCGCCATCGATAGTTTTTATGAAATCGGAAAAAAGGTTGGTCAAGAGGCTACGATGTGCGAACCGGAGGTGTCGCATATGAGGCCTTACACAACAATCGGCTGAAGTTGACAAGGCAGGATTATTTCTATATCGGGGACTACTTCCACGATTTAAGTTATTTGCCGCAAAGATGAAACCTTTCGCCTCATTTGTAAGTCTGGAGGAAACGGTATCAGCTTTACGACTAACGTACGGGTATCAGTTTATGACCACTCGGCACATTCGAGCGCCCTGCCTCATCAACATGCGTGATTCCTTCAAAACTGTTTTCATGCATTCTTTCTGTTGCAAACAGCACGTTTACATCCAGCAAGTTTGCGCATCTGGAACGATGTCGGTATCACCACTACGGGCTCTTACTTCGCCAACGCATCAAGTGGATTTCCAGTGTTTCAGTCGATTACCCTTCTTCGCCAAGCCCTGCACAATGCGTCCGGTTTACAAACAGCGCAACGTCAGCAAGTAAGACCTGAAGTCAGAATTTGGTTGTACAAAAGTCTTTACCGAAGAGCAGCTTTGTGCTCCAGTATCATGTAGCGCGTGCACCAAACTTCGACGACGGGGTCTGAGCAAGACATCGTCATGTGGTCGCAATTGGACGTCTCAACAACCATTAGTCGACTTCTCTCGCCCGCTTTGCAACACAATGCATACCGCACCGCTATCATCCACACAATCGACGTTTTCGATCTCAATTGTATTCCCAGTCGCCAAAATCATCGCGTGGTAACTGTCGTTTGCAAGACACCATTCAGTCATAGCAAGAAACGATACCATTCACAAAGCGTCTCCGCCATAACAAAGTTGCAAACGACCGGATACGGAAAAAAAACTGCTTAGTCATATCCACAATCCTGATATCGTCACGCTTGGGACATTTGACCACCTCGCACTCGACCAGACAGACGGCCGTCCATCGGCGACCCCGCGATGCTCGTCCGTCCATTCTTAGCGGCGCTGCGTCGCCCGCTGTCATCCTCACGAGCGCTCCAGTCGTCCTCCAGAGCTCTTCAAGCGTCACGTTTGTATCCTGCCATTACTGCTGCTGCTGCTGCCACTGCTTTTCCTGCTTCTTATCCTGAAAACAGTCCTCTGCTGACCGTTTTCGAGCACGCGATTCTCGAGCGCCGTCCGTCACTAGCGCTGCGGCAGTTGGCGCAACTCCAGTCACCTCCGAGTTCTCAGTTGCTGCAGAAACTGGTCGTGCTGCTGGCTCGACAGCGAACGAGCAGGAGTCATGCAGCACGTGCTCATGAGATACTGTGTGGAGTATACCGTACGCCCGGGTTGAATCCTGATGACTATACGAAACTAGCGTCCATCTACGTCATGGACGCGTGTTTGCGCTTCCGGATGCTGGATGCAGCCATCGAGGTATGAACGGATCGCACGGTCGATGCGAGGGTATGATCCTGCATAGTGTGACGTGATGCTTATCCTGCAAATATGTCCTGTGGTTATACTGTTTTTGTCTGGTCGTGTGCCTTATAAGCTGTATGACGAGGCCGTGAACCAAGCGGTAGTGCTGGACTTGCCGGCGTATGACGGACTGATATCAGCGCTAATAGAGGCCAAGAGACTCGAAGAAGCAATGGAGATACTGAAGGAACTTGTCGATGGGAGAGATGTGTGTCCTAGTGAGCAGACAGTGTTGCCGGTGCTAGTAGAGCTGATTCAGAATCGTGAATACGGCAGTGCGATCGACATCATGAAGCAGGGACAGAGTCGTGGTATTGAGTTTAGCAGTGAGACGTTTCATCCTTTGCTGTTGCTGGCGGAGAAAGATACGGCCTCAACGGATGCGCTGGTCATGTTTCTGACTTTCATTGAAGATTTGTGGGATGAGTACAAGGTGAGAAGAAGAAGCGGAGGTTGCTGTTGATGGAAGGAACATTGACATTGATGTCTGCTGGTGTATTGATCGTTCACTTGTGCACAGGCTTTTGTTGACTATGACTCTGAGGAAGAAGACGAGGTGGACGACTTGGAAGAGTAAAACGGAGTTTGTAGTGTATATCGAAACTGCGAATCGAACAAAAGCTGGGTAGACGAAGTGCTGACGGTGAGGGTATCGTGGTAAGGTTTTCCTCGCAACAGATGGATCAGATGAGCGTCTTCCAAATGGTTACTTAGTCGTCCGAGAGGACGCGCCCGAAAATGCAGTCTGCAAGTTCTCTTGTCTGAAATTGCGGAACCCGCGAAGGACGTCTGTCTTTTGCCTTGGATGCAATGACTGGCTCGACAGACGTGAAGATGCCGTGTCGATGTTGATGAAGCTAAGTAAAAGGACGAACTAACAGCCTCAAGCATTTGTGGTATGCGATGCTACAGCATTGTCGACGTGCACACTTCTGCCAGCCGCTTCATCGCACACGATGATACTGGAGACTACTGTGTCGGACAACATGAGCCAGTGGAAAGCCCATTTGTGTTCGACTGGTGCGCTGATCGCTTGAGGTACGTCACCAAGTGTGCCCATCGTGCCTGTAGCCTCGACATCGTATCTGTCCTTTCCCAGCGGCCCATGCCAAAAATTGTTGACGCATGCGATCGTCTTCTGTCCAAAATGGAGCGACTGATGCTGCAATGCGATTGATGGTCATGTACGAACTCGACCAAAAGCAATTGTTCTTCGCGAGGGCGTGGGGACTATCGATATGTAAGGACGTTGTGCCATTTCGGTCGGTCACGAAAGCCAAACGCAGATACAATCATGTGAATAGAGAACAATCAATAGCTTCATTCCCTACATAGACTGAATAGGCAAGCGGAACATGAAAATGCTCCGTCACGACAATCGTCTTCCCGCATCGGACGATTCCAATCCTTCATTGCCTGCACTTAGCAAACAAACTCAATCTCCTTCTTTGCATTCGCCAGACAGGCAAGTTCCTCCCTGAGCTGACGACGTTCCGCCACTTTGAGCTCGGAGTCTTGCATCAGTCTGGCCAGTGTCGCATCCGTCAGCCCGTTGAGCTCCTGTGCCATTTCGTCGACAAACTTCTTCAAAATCAAGTCGTTCAGCCGCATGGGAATCTCGTCTGCAAAGCGCGCGACCGCCACCTTAAAGTACGCTTCCAATGCCGCTTGCATATCAAGCGCTTCTCGATCTTCCATAGACGCTGCCGCTGCTTCCACAACCTTCATGACCACAGCGAGATCCACTTTTCCATCTGAATCTGCTTGAACGAATGTGCTCACTTGTTCATGAAGAGCCTTCAAGTGTTCTTGGTCCAATTCGGCATACAAACGCTTGTCCTGCGTATACGGCCGACCTTCCCCAATCAGCACCAGTCTCATCTCCATACTCGCATTCGCAACCACTCGGTCCAGCACATCGGACGCAGTACTTCTGAGAAACTGCACAACTCGAGATTTGGCCCCAACCTCCTTAGAGACGAAGTCCGACACCAGCTTTGTCTGCAACTGATACGCACTCACCAGTGTTTCCGCAGGTGGTCCCCACTTGTCAACGATCCTGCGAAACAAGTTGCAAAAGACTTGGTACGACGTAAAAATCGGGAGCTCATCGCCGCGGTTTTCACGGATAAACTGTTTCAGCATTGCCCGTTCGTCGAAGCGCCAATGGTTCTTGCTCTTCCACTGCTGGTCAAACTCCTCGCAGCAAATGTCCGTTCCATTGATCCCTTTCACTCGCCCACTGCGATACTGGCCGTCGATCTCAATTTGCACGGCATCCCCAGCTGCCACTTGTTCGTGGTCTTTCTTCGCATCGGCTCCATCAAACACACAGTCTTTCGACTTGTTGATTGCCACTTGAAAATTGGCTTCCTTGATACGGAGAACGGCTCTTAGACGGACATTCATTTCAGCCGGAGTCGAACACTGATCCAAAGCTGTTGGTGCCGGGGTAGACGGCAGTGCTTCGTAACGTCCGCTCATTGCTGCTTCGATCAACCGCAAGTACTGATCAACCCACTTGCCAAACTGCTGACGTTGCACCACGGGTGTTTCCAACGGCGTGCCCAGTTTCGCCAATGACTTTTGCGTCTCCGTCATGCGCGAACTGATCTCCTCCACCACCTTTGGCAGCGACCGACGGATATTGTCTTGCAGAATTGACATCAACCGTTCACTTAGTCGTGGCACTCCCCACAAGTGCGTCGATAGCCGGCGCCAATACTCGTGCTCGCCGAAAAACACCTTTTCGACTGCCAACCCTCTTTCAATGCTCATGCGCTTGGACAGATCCCGTTGGCTTCGGCACTTCACGGCGTGGTAGCCCAAGTGCATTTTCTTCTTTCGGTTCAGGAGTAGCTCGTGCACTGCAAGCTCTGCACCAGCGTCAACCAAATCCACTTTGGTCACTACGGCAATGGTTCTCGTTCCATTCGGGTCGGCCTCTTGAGCCGCTTGCAATATCTCCGTATTGTGCATGTCGACATTAGCTGGAACAACAGCAATGATGACCGTTCGCTCTTGCTACATGTAGCGGTTGATCATTTGCCGAACCCTTGCAATGATGCTACGGTCTTCGTGATCGCCCACAGTGCGCACAAGTCCTGGCAAGTCGGTGAGAGTGAGATTTGGCATGTCGGGGCCACTCATTTCAATCACAATTTGATCGTCACTGATGTATTGGCCTTCGTCGATCAGTTTCTGCGTGAGCTTCGTGATGGCACATGGGACGTCGTCTAGATGAGTGAGCTTTTCGCCCTCTTCCCCGGTATCCGTCTCACCCTCCTCATCAGTACCACCATTCGAGCGAAACCGGACGAGGCGCACCGTTCCGCTGAATGTGCTGGCACGAGAGAGGACGAGTTGAGTAGGACACCTCGTCGTGAGTTGATCACTGGATGGAAACGAGACGCCTGAAAGCGCCGACAGGAGGGACGATTTGCCGCTGGAAGTGTCCCCCATCACCGCAATTTGCGGCAGCTCAATGTATTGGCCAAGACCAATATCACGGAGCTTGTCGATCAGCTTTCGCTCTTCTTGAGCTTTCACTTGCGATATTAAATTGCTTTGGAAACTCTTGGTCATACTGGCGAAGCTGGTCCAGGAGGTGGCGCTGAAGTGTGTTGGAAAGCCGAAGTGCAAAAGTGAGAGCTAGCATCGCAACAAGTGAGGCACAGTTAATGCACCGAACCGTTGCTTGGCTCAATCAATCAATCGGTCCATCCGACCACGTTCTCGTTGGAGTTCCCAGTTTGATGGATTTGACTGGACCTGAAGCGACTCGAACACGTCGTCGGTCCAATGATTCGTCCGTATGTTGCTTCAGTTCTGTGTGGGTGAAGGGCTGGCATCGCTACAAAAGTGACGAGGAGGAAGCAGGGGATGCGTCGTCATACGCATCAGCTTATCAGCACGAAACGCAGCATGCAGTCGCATGAGAGGTAATGTGGTTCAGAGTCAGAGAAGATGCGAATGGTCTCGCCACTTGGTGGAGTCTGTGCGGTGACGCTGAGCGACACAACTATCGCTTACGCACAGAGCTTACAACTGGTAAGATCGATCTGGTAAAGCATGTCTGTCACCCTATGCAAAATGCGTGTGCGCCGATAAACAACCATCCATGTCCTGACGATTAAGGTCTGCCCACTTGTCCTTATTCGATCTTGCTGTGAATGATGTGATGTACTAACGCAAGTAATGGGTGGCATCCAATTGTATTCAGATAGCGCTTACCCCACGGGATAAGAGCTTAACTAGATTGTACGAGGCGATACAATCAGAACAGATTGACATGTAAAGTGCTTCTTCCTTCCCCAGTTACGATCGTAAGACACAGCGCGTTCGAAGTTGCGGATCAAGGATAGCGTGAGTTAGTCTGGAAAGCACCAGCGTTCCTGGCTATTTTACAACTTTTGCAACGCAGCAGATGTCTTGCATTCGATGATTGGACAGGACACTACGAGAAGGATTGACAGCACGCGACAGATGTGACGGTTCACACGTCTCAAAGGTCGCAACGTATGCTTGTCTGCCTCAAATGGCAGTTCCGATCCACCGATATTGATGAAAGCAATGCACTTAAGCTACTGCTGCAGCGACAAGTGCGTACGGCGCCCAATTTCTATTGAAACGGTATCGGCACGCCTTGTGGGATCGATACACGGCAAATCGCCTGCACAGAACATCTGGCCCGAGCATCCTTTGACAATGAGCAGTCGAGACTGTAGCTGCAGCACGGATCATCTCCTCTTGATCGCTGCATCGACCGATTATGGCGGTCCTTCCTCGTTTCGCGCTCGGACCCCCTGTTTCTCTTTGTTTCTCGTCTGCGAATTCCTGACATGCACTTGTCGTCCCTTGTGCGCTTTTTCTGAGCAGTGAGCTGGTCGTTCTAGCAACCCTCGTCTCGCGCCTCGCTGATTAAAGGGCCGTGACAGATCGTTGCTCCTCCACGTGAGACTATCACCACCGACGAACAGCTGATGGTGGCTCAGTCTTCCCACCGAGATGAGTATGAGGAGCGAATGCCCAGTGTACAAGAAGCTGCCACCGCCGGGACTACTGTCCATGAATCCATTGCAGCCATTTTCGAACTCGTTGCTCGCCTCGAACATCGGTTTGTAAAAGTGTCACCTGACATGCCCGAACTCATAGGCACCCTCGTCACCAGGGGTGCCAGAGCAGCTCATGAAACTATTAATCCTTCTGTTGCATACTACATGTTATTCGTGGAGCGCGTGTTTGTCGCGGTCACGACCGTTGCAAGACTTCGCCTGCCACCGTCCACACAGGAGGTCGCTACTATCGCTCGCGAGCTCGAAGGTGTGTGGGGTATGAGAGAGCTGGCCATCAAGGATACGCCTGGTACGTCTCTTGCCCTACTCGAGAGAAAACGCGCGAAGGATCCAACAAGTGCTGTTCGACAAGTGGTACAGAGATTATTTTGCTCCTGAGCTAGTCAGAGTCGAGCTTACTAGAAATCCAGGATTGAACGATGTGTCCGTCAGAGATGCCGAGAGTGTCGAGAAGATTGTAGCTCGTTACGCAATTAACCGTTATGGGCGCACAAGAGCCATCATCTGGCGTCAAATGCGTAACGCCTTCAATTGAAATTGCTCCACTTTGTTGTTCGTCCATCTTGTCTTCGTAGTACTCTTTGTCTATGAGTTGCTCGCAACCTCCTTCACATAACTGATGTCGATGTAAGTCTTGTCGGTTGACAACACGACTAGACTGTTACTCTTGTACAGGCGTATGGCATTTACCTGTTATACCTTGCATACTCAAGAAGCTGATCATGCCACCGTGTCGCCCTCTACGCATCGAATAGCGAACTTTACAAGATGTAAGTGCGCATCTCTGCTGCGTGGAAAGTTATCCGAAGTCGACCCGCACAGGTCGTACGAGATCTGCGCCGCCTTCTACGAGCGTATAGCCGAATTGCGTTGTAGCTCCGAGCTTCTGTCACTTACTAGTCCAACCGTCGACTGAGGGCTTCAGCACGGACGACCAGAGGTATCACACATATATAAGCAACTTTGAACATTGGAAAAGGAAGATGCACGTGAGGTGGAGGCTAGTGCCTACGACCTCAACTACATTGGCCTGGACGGCAACATTGGATGCCTCGTGAACGGCGCGGGCTTGGCCATGGCTACCATGGACATTACCTCGCTGTATGGCGGTTCGCCTGCCAACTTTCTCGACGTGGGTGGAGGCGCGTCGGAAGAGCAGGTGAAAAAGGCGTTCGAGATCCTCGACAGCGATGATCAGGTCAAGTCGATCTTGGTGAACATCTTCGGTGGCATCATGCGCTGCGACGTGATTGCTGCCGGTATCGTGGCTGCTGTCAAGGACTTGGGTCTGAAGAAGCCGGTCATTATCCGTCTGCAGGGGACCAACGTGGAACCTGCGCGCAAGATCATTGCTGACTCGGGCATCAAGATGATTGTGGCCGACGACCTCGAGGATGCTGCCGAGAAGGCTGTCAAGATCGCCGACATTGTCGCACAGGCGGAGAAGGTCAAGATTGGCGTGGAGTTTGCGGCGTAGACGGCTGTGTGCGAATGGAGGCAGCTCGGCAGTTGTTGCTGACAGGAAGGGTGCTCGAGCGGTCGTTGCAAAGCCCAGAACTCACACAGTCGTGTGCAAGGAAGGAGTCATGTTGGGTTGTGGATCTTGATGCACAAAGCAGTAATCAATGGATGCGAAGTAGATCGATTGCAGTCAATTGCATTTTCGACAGCAGTAAATCGACGAGCAAACGTGTCCTCGATGCATTTGATCGCTGCATAGGATGACTGGTGTCTTTTGACGACGCGTAGGCGCGTGATCCTCACGCTATGGTTGAAGATGTTTGCCTTACAGAAGGGTATTGCAGCATGTGTTGTATGGGTTGTGGTGTCGGTGCCCTTTGTCAGAGGAGACCGCTCTTGTTTTTGCTCGCGTACTATTCTTGTTCGGAATGGTTCGACTAACTAACTATTAGGGATCTATCTATTCGACTAACTACTGGGGGTCTGTCCATCTGACAAAATGTAGTTTGCCAGTGAAAATGCCATCGAGTGTTCGTTGAGACGAATATAAAGTGTGCGTGGTGTGGCAACCGATAATAGCGGAGAGGGAAGACCATTCTAGGCGCAGACAATGGTTGGTTGTGTGTACCGTCCGAGAGGGGCAGCCGGCCGCTACAGACTGGGGATTGGCCGGGCCATTTGTAGGTTGTCTGTCGACCGCAAGCCTTGTTTGGGTAGACCGCAAGCCTTGTTCGGGTAGACCGCAAGCCTTGTTTGTGTCGATCGTATTGATAAGCACTGCATCGAATGAGTGACTCGAATGATGTTCGCAACTTATACCAAGATCTGCTCTGATTTTTCGTGAGGAGAGCCTCTCGGTAACACGAGAGATGAATGCACTGACGAGTCCATTCCACGTGCGGAGTACAATAGTGTAGTAAAGCGTGTGCATGACGACGTTGATCTTGCATCGAGCCGACTGCAGTTGCTCCTTCTGTCTGGGCAATGTCGAGAATATGGCCCCACTACACACGCATTTACGATCGCTCTGTTCACTTTGACGCCAAAATCTCTTAACTATAACTTCTGCATCCCGCACACACTCACTCCACAGATACCGATGTACTCCAAGGCTTCAGTCCTACCAGTCTACCACATCATCGTTCGAACACTGAATGCTCAGTTTCCCGTCCGTGTGCTGCAAGAGTGTACTCCTGTATTGTAGCGCTATGTGCCCTCCTGCGGCCATCGAATACGGAAGGTGTTTTTTAAAGAGACGCAGGCTACGTAGTTGCTGGGCTTGCGGCTACAGTCGCAACTCATAGCATTATGCTTTGGCGGTAGGGCAACCGAGGTATTACGTGCTGAAAGAAACGAGCGGTTATGAGCGATAGCTGCGACACAGGTGAAGACAACGGACTCGACGAAACATCCATGCACCTTATCGAGCTACACTTGCATGATCTCGTTCATTCTTTGCTTCCGTTTATCCTGGCTGCATCCTATGCGTATTCATGCGACAAACCTCTAATGTCACATTCAATCATTGCCTGCCGCTTTTGTTGTTGTCGAAAGCAGAAGCTGCTTGTTTTTTTCACGTAAGAAGACGGGGCATGTGGCATCTTGTGGCGGTGCTCGGTCGCTATCATCCGCTGGACGTGAATCTCGATACAGACGATGACCAATCTATCCGTCTCCATCGGTCAATACAAAGGGATCATCTATCCATTGCGGGCGCGTCTATCAGTGCCATCAACGTCCAAGCCGTTTGTATTCCGACCAAACACGACGGCATCTGGACCAGTGAGGAAGGTGTCATCCGTCTTTGCTTTCGATCCTTATTGCTCTCTTTTCACGCTTCGTTCGGACGGAACGTGATGCGTCGCGTTGGGCAGTGGATGATGCGATCTCGTACCCAGTCTACTGTCTCGCCCTGTACTACCGACCGAATCTTTCACCTCAGGTGCAGTGTTTGCGCTATGGTCACCCAAATGGTACCCGCTGGCCTCACAAAGAGCGGAACGCATACCGCAACAATAGGCAGCACAAAGAGCGGAATGCATGCAGTGACAATAGACACCACATTGCGCGACGGATCATCCACACCATACTAAACCACACTGTCTCACTGTATACCAAACGTGCGCTGATCTGTGTGCACCAATTCGGCTCGATGGAAGATCAACGTCGTCATGCACACGCTTTACTACACTATTGTACTCCACACGTGGAATGGACTCGTCAGTGCATTCATCTCTCGTGTTACCGAGAGGCTCTCCTCACGAAAAATCAGAGCAGATCTTGGTATAAGTTGCGAACATCATTCGAGTCACTCATTCGATGCAGTGCTTATCAACACGATCGACGCAAACAAGGCTTGCGGTCTACCCGAACAAGGCTTGCGGTCTACCCGAACAAGGCTTGCGGTCTACCCAAACAAGGCTAGTGGTCGACAGACAACCTACAAATGGCCCGGCCAATCCCCAGTCTGTAGCGGCCGGCTGCCCCTCTCGGACGGTACACACAACCAACCATTGTCTGCGCCTAGAATGGTCTTCCCTCTCCGCTATTATCGGTTGCCACACCACGCACACTTTATATTCGTCTCAACGAACACTCGATGGCATTTTCACTGGCAAACTACATTTTGTCAGATGGACAGATCCCCAGTAGTTAGTCGAATGGATAGATCCCTAATAGTTAGTCAGTCGAACCATTCCGAACAAGAATAGTACGCGAGCAAAAACAAGAGCGGTCTCCTCTGACAAAGGGCACCGACACCACAACCCATACAACACATGCTGCAATACCCTTCTGTAAGGCAAACATCTTCAACTATAGCGTGAGGATCACGCGCCTACGCGTCGTCAAAAGACACCAGTCATCCTATGCAGCGATCAAATGCATCGAGGACACGTTTGCTCGTCGATTTACTGCTGTCGAAAATGCAATTGACTGCAATCGATCTACTTCGCATCCATTGATTACTGCTTTGTGCATCAAGATCCACAACCCAACATGACTCCTTCCTTGCACACGACTGTGTGAGTTCTGGGCTTTGCAACGACCGCTCGAGCACCCTTCCTGTCAGCAACAACTGCCGAGCTGCCTCCATTCGCACACAGCCGTCTACGCCGCAAACTCCACGCCAATCTTGACCTTCTCCGCCTGTGCGACAATGTCGGCGATCTTGACAGCCTTCTCGGCAGCATCCTCGAGGTCGTCGGCCACAATCATCTTGATGCCCGAGTCAGCAATGATCTTGCGCGCAGGTTCCACGTTGGTCCCCTGCAGACGGATAATGACCGGCTTCTTCAGACCCAAGTCCTTGACAGCAGCCACGATACCGGCAGCAATCACGTCGCAGCGCATGATGCCACCGAAGATGTTCACCAAGATCGACTTGACCTGATCATCGCTGTCGAGGATCTCGAACGCCTTCTTCACCTGCTCTTCCGACGCGCCTCCACCCACGTCGAGAAAGTTGGCAGGCGAACCGCCATACAGCGAGATAATGTCCATGGTAGCCATGGCCAAGCCCGCGCCGTTCACGAGGCATCCAATGTTGCCGTCCAGGCCAATGTAGTTGAGGTCGTAGGCACTAGCCTCCACCTCACGCGCATCTTCCTGTGTCTTGTCACGCTTGGCGAAAATCTCCGCGTGACGAAAGGCTGCATTGTCGTCGTAGTTGAGCTTAGCATCGCACGCAAAGATCTCGCCTTCGCGAGTCTCGGCCAGCGGGTTGATCTCCACCAGGGTAGCGTCCACGCCGATAAACATATTGTACAGGTTCCGGATCTGCGTCTCGAGCTTCTTCAGCACATCGCCTTCGCCTCCCAGCGCTTTGGCCAGACGCGACACCTGCGCGTCTGTTGGACCCGTCGAGATGTCAATGTTTTCCTTGAAAATCAGCTCCGGCGTGGCCTCGGCAACGTCTTCGATTGAGGTGCCACCTGCAGGGGACGCGACCATCACGGGGCCCTGCGCCGCGCGGTCCATGAGGATGGAAAAGTACATCTCCCGGCGCATCCACACGCGCTCCATGAGGAACACTTTGGCCACCTCAATGCCTTTTTCGCCCGTCTGTTTCGTCACGAGCGTCTCGCCCAGCATCTTCTTGGCCAGGTCCTCCGCTTGCTCGGGCTTGGTGCACATGTGCACGCCGCCTTTGAAGCCATTCTTGAACGTTCCGAGGCCACGGCCACCGGTGAGCGCCTGGGCCTTGATCACCACGTCCACTCCGTCTGCACCGATAATCAACCGCAAGCCACCCACACGCACAAAAGTTAATTGAGCAACAGGTACCCACGATTTCGACCAATCAGAAACGGGCAGACACGCGCTCGACCAAAAGACCCAAATGGGTCTTTTGCAACTTTCGGCACCTGCACCCGATTCAGCAACAACCCCTATCCCTGCTCGGGTTCTGGTCTTCGCGCAACTTACCACGGTCGCCTCGGATCGCAGCAAACGCGGCTTTGGCCTCGGCCGGCGTGTCCGCGGGAATGCCCTGCGGCGTCGCGACGCCAAAGCCCTTCATGATCTCCAGCGACTGGAACTCGTGCAGGTTCAGACGCCGCACGTGCGCGTGCTGGCGCGCCGGGAGCGACAGGAGGTTGGGGTGACGGAGCAGCGAGCCCAACATGGTCTATCACGGGGGATGCAGCGAGCGAGCGAGCGAGTGGCTCGATGCGATTGCAAAAGTGAGGGGGGAGGGGGAGTGGGTGGTAATCAGCGCGTGGGTGGTATGGAGTGGGCGAAATGACACAATCCCGGGAGGGGACCGTGTGGGTGGATGCGGGACAGCGCGCCGTGTTGATCGTCAACCCACGTACTTTACACATAAAAAACGCATTGTTTCGCAAGCGATAGAGAGCTCGCACTGCTTTTTTTCTATCTGGGATGGAGGCAATGCATGGCTATTCAGAAAGTCAGTTCCACCACGTTGCAAAAGGTCAGTGGATATGCTGGTTCGAGTTTGTAAAGAACGTCTTCTTTGATCTCCTCAATAGTCATAACTACCGACGGAAGCTCAACAAGTGCAGTTTACATATCGCGATCGCTGTCGCTTTTCTCACGACACTTGTTGACACACCCGGCCGTCAATATTCTACCGGTTTCCTTCGACCCGACAGCGTCCGCGCTCCTAGTGCCGGTTTCTCCACCGGTTTCCCGTCACACAACCGGTATCTCCATCACCCCCGCCGCCTTCCCATTATCTCTTCAACCTCATGGCGTCTTCCTCGTCCTTTAGCGCCTCGTTGGCCGTCCTCCTCGCGGCCAAATACTGCCGCCAGAACCCACTGCTGCTCTGGAAAGACGAAGCGCTTCCGTCGGTTGGCCGTCGCGCAGAAAAGTTCTGTTTCCGAGTCGCATTGCGGAATCTGCAGCAAGAACCGTGTGGCGACCTGATGCTCGCGCTGCTGCCGGCGCAATTGAGTCTCCTGGACATCGACCGAGAGAGTGCAGTATACCGGTTGAAAGCGCTGCTCGTGACGCTTCAGGTGGTGCTTTGTTCGTGCCGTGGCGCGCACTAGTGACCGCGTGCGGAGCTCTTGCGGCGTCGCTCCTGTCGAATAGTCTTTTGGTGGTAAGACTGACGCATGTGGTGCAATCTTTGCGTGACAGCATCCATACATTCTTCCAGTCATGGACATGGTCTACGCCAAGGAGAAGAAAGCGCTGCTGGTTCTCCAGCCATTCGTTGCCCGCGGCAGCCTCAAGGACCTCATTTACCGGGTCGATGACCCCGCAACGGCGTTTGGGGCCAAGTACCGGCTCGAGCGTGCACATGCACTGCCGTTTCAAGCCATTGCCAAGTTTTCGCGCCAGGTGCTCGAAGCACTGGCTGACCTTCGACGAAAAGGTCTCATGTGCGACCACTTGCGGTCGACAAACGTCCTGGTGGACCGTGGCAATGCTCGAATCGCCGAGATTTTCACGCCGCTTCTGGCCATTGATCGATACAGGGACAGTCGACAACTCACCGTGAGTCTCGAGCAGGACATGGACATTGACTTGCTGCTGTTTGGCCACATTGTGTACGAAATGGCCACTGGCTTGGAACTGGCAAGTCCACAGCCGGAGAAAGGTGTGCTGGAGATGGTAGCACCGGAGATTGCCGACGTGCTCCAGGCGATCTTCTGTTACCCAGATAGGCTGAGACGTCCATCGGATCCAGCGCAGCTCTGTTCAGGCGTGGAGAAGGAATGCCAAAGCGCGGGACGATACGACGATGTGGCGCCGGTTGGTGGTAGTAGCACAGGCAGTAGTCGCTGCAAGAAACACTTGTTTCTCGTCGACGTGGACAGAATGCTGGAAGATTTTGCGTTGTTTGCGGCCGCCCATGATGTTGCACCTATTCGGACACTGTTCTCTGGATTCCGTCTGGATTCCGACATGAAGAGTACCATCAAATGTAGCATGCGGATCAACGCGAGCCGTAGTCAGGCACACATCGTGCGCTACAACGACCAAGAGGCTCTCTCACGGACTCGCCAACGGGCTGAGCGTCGCGTGTATGAGGAGAGAGAGAGACAGCGACGGCGTATTATGCAACTTGCTCTAGGTGGGAACCCCACTAGCAAGGGCACTGCACGCAGCAGCAAGACTCTGTCGTCAAGAAGAAAGGCATACCGTGCTGACAGCTTTCGAAAGCATACCAAGCATGTATTGTCCCAGTCTGGCAGTGATGTATCGAGCACGAGCGCATCCACTGCCTAGTAGGTTGTAAACCTCGTGATGAGCATGATGTACGATACTGAAGTTTGGATGTACGTGGGACTAAAGCGCGCATGAGGTCAGGGTCACTTCGAATGAACTGATGCACCGCTCGCATGGTCGACTGCAGATCGAATCCTGCCTCCCTCACACGTGCGGTCATGGACTGTCGATTGCCCAGTCGATCAACTCGACCGTATACAAGTCAAGTCTGGTCCGGATACAGAAGATAAACGCCGATGCTGTTGAGCGTCGAACTCGCTGCGCGCTGCAGTTGTGTATCCGTGGCAAGACAATCGTGTGGAGATTAGTAAACGAGGGCGCCAACAAACGCACCATCGTATGCAATGACACGTGGAGGTGACATCTCACAAGGCTTCGAAGGTTTTTTTGCAGAGCTTAAAACAAGCTGCGGTTGGCAGAATCAAAGCAGCGCACTGTCAATGTTGCACGCGGACAGTGACAAGTTCACTTTTGCTCGTACTGCGTTCTTTTTGCAGCTGCGATGACTCGTTTCGTCTTCATCGCGCCGTTCTCGCTCGATCGATGCTATTGCTCTATCGCTGCGCTTTCCTTCACGACAAGGAACAGTTCGCACTCGCCAGTATTTACCAGTTCCTGCAAAAACTGGTAGCACTTGCGCTCGCTGTCAAACGGCTGCAACAACAAGCACGAGACAGTCACGAGAGGAATCAGAAACTTCTGTACGACATTGCGATCATTCCCCGCAACTCTTCTCTGACGCTCAGTGTGTCGTCAACGCACCGCTGGAGCCGTAAGTTTCGAGTCCAAATTGTAGCAAATGCCTCGGATTTTGCGAAGCGCAAACCAATGTCTCTGCGTCCAGAGACTGCTCCATACCGTTGACAGCACGACATTGCACAGCACTCCCTCTGCTTTGTCCAAGTTGACCAAATTCTCGTCCACTGGCAGCCGTTTGTCCACCCACCGCATCACATACCCTGACAAAAGAACGTCACACATGGATATACACACACAAGAAGCACATATTGTGAGCTGTACATTCTTCTTCACACACACACACACACACACACAGAATGGCTCGACGCCAGACCCTTTTGCACATGTAGCCACTTGGCCCCTATCTTTTCACCTGTTTGCTGTAAAGCCCGCGTCAAAGCATTGACGTCGTAATTGCCAATGCCCAATGGCGATCGATGCGCGTTCCAGACCCAATTCATATGTCCACTGCTGGCGTTTCGACTCGCGAGTTCGTCACAAGTCTCTTCTAGCGAGTCTTTGGTGAACACGGGCCCTACGTACGTGGAAAGAAAGAACAATGGGTTCATCAGACGTGATCATGAGATATTGTTGTTTTGTAGTGTAGACCATAGATACCCACCCGTCGGGACACTTTAGTCGTACAAAAGTAATAGCGCACTCTCGTCATGTACCTTGCAGGACGTTGTTCAGTGCGTGAAGTCCACAGCGGTACAGTACCTGACGTTCGTGGTACAGTGCGTTGTTGTTATCCGCCATCTCGATCTCCTCTCGAGTCAAAACGCGATACTGTCGTTTTTGGCTTAATAAAGGCGAATCGACCGTCAAATGTGGAATGCCTGGAAACGTCCTCTATTATAGATTCGAAAAAGCATTACGGTCGACAAGTTCTATCCAGATCAGTTCACTCAGTCCACTCAGTCCACTTCAACATGTTCGATGGCTACATCCAGTGTCCATATGAGCGGCCGCACACGTACGTTGTGCTTGTGACTTCTCTACGTGCTATCGTTGCAGGTCGTCATGCCGTCTTTCTATGCTTCGATTGCAATACGCTTCTCAGTCGTCAACATGGTGCATCATCTTGACGGCAGTGAGAAGCGGCAGCTCGTGTCCACTCACAGTCAGATCTGCAGAATACGCTATCACAGCGGCTCAACGTCGCTCCTCGTCACGAGCGAAAACCGTATTGCCGGCTTTGCAAGTTCGTCTGTCCACCGACGCACTTGCAAACCTTTCCATGGACGATCTCTTCAGTATCAGCGGTCCTGCTATCCCGCGCTGCTTTCAAGCGTTCTCAGCGACGCCGCAGCCTTCATCCAGCTCGATCATGTCGAAGTCGGGTTACACAAACGGCAAAGATCCTGACGGCGAGGGTTGCAGCGTCTCCATGCGAGCAGTACGCACTTCGCGCGTAATGAGCTCGCAGCTTTTGTGGACGAACTTGCCGAGCGCCTCCTCATCAAGCAGCCAAAGTTGCAGTACGTGCAGCAGCCGGCACAGCAGTAACAACAGCTTACCCACTCGAAGTCGAGTAAGCGGAAGCCTTCGTCGACGTGTCTTCGGCTGGCAAGAAGTAGTCGGTGCAAACATCGACGTCTCCTGCACAACTGCCACCCTTTGTGCCGCTATTCATCGCCATCAGATGCACACTCAGCAATCCGACAAGGCCCCGATGGCGTGAACGCTGTCAACACCTGCAATAGCGTCCGAAAGGACATGCACCGTGTAGTCGGCACTGGCAACAGGCAATGAGAGCGATACGTGAACCTTGTGTTTCCATGCCACGTGTTTGAGGTGGACGATGTTTTCTCCTGTGTCCTCTTTCTTGGTCGTCAAGACTATGTAGAAGCCGTACGGCTTGGGTTTCTGCAGTCGAGACGTAAAGGCCAAGCTATTGCCACCTTGGCCGTTCAGAGCTGTTAATTCCACATCGACCACTTGCTGCTTCTGCTGCGGCCGCACGTCCACACGAAGTCGCGGAATTCCCTCCGCCACACGTATAAATTCATTGATCTTGTACTTTGTCAGACTGCTTTGTCGACCTCTCTGTTCTTGTTGCAAACTCTGCAAACGTTCAATAATATGTGCTTTCTTGGTATGCACTGCTAGAGCTGCTTGCAGATCCGTAATATCTGACACCTTGCATTGCTCGCGCAGAAGCTTTACAACTGTTTGCGACGCATGCGGCAGCTGAGTCAGTACATCACCGCTGTCTGGCCATCGCCCTTGCACGACGGCTTGAGATAGACGGATACCAGCGAAAACCAGATCCGTGAGCTCTAGAAAAGCGCAGAGGTCAATTGCAGCGCTCAGCAATCGCGGTAGGTGGTCCAACAACATGCGCAGATCATTTGCAAAATCACTCGAAGGCAGACGCATGCCCGTCAGATACATCTGAAGCACTAGGAATGCCTTCACCTCGCTGCCATGAGTCTCCAGTAGCATTTTTTGACGCTTCGGTTGACTCGTAAACAAATGCTTCAATGGCGAAAACTTTACTTTCGTGCAAAGATCTGCGATCAAATTGCTCGTGATCTCGTTGTGGCGCAATGGGATGTCGCGAAGCTCCATGCTGGATTCGCAAATCACGCAAAGCAGTAGCAATGTGTTCGTCCTTGTTGCTGGTCCTTCATTGTCAGAGGACGTTGCTTGCAAAGCAGTCATCATATTGGACACTGTGCGCACATCCAGATAAAGTGACGCTGCAAGCTTTCCAGCGAACGTTGGTTCAAAGGACAACAGACCCGTGGCTCGCGACGTAGTGATGCATTTACTCGACTCGAGTTGCTGCACCGTTGTCGATATTAGCTGCAAGAAAAACGTCTCCAACCCGTCTTGCTTGCTTGGTGTCGTCGGCTGCTTTCCCTGCTTATTCTGTTTGCCACCGCTTGCGACATGCGAATCCGTTGCCGCCACAGTAGCCCCAACGCCGTAGAAGCCTGGATTCTTGAGCACGCGCTGGAACAGCAAACTCCAGCTCAAGTAATCCATCACGTCCTTCGTGGTATGAAGAAACCCTGCTGCGATCTCTGCATTCAGATGGTTAGCCAAGATGTGGGGCATTGCATTTCCACCAAGACAGGACTCCACAGCCAACGGTTCGTGCAAAAATCGCTGTGTGACGTTCTTCTTGCTTTCTTCCACCAACACACACGCAATCCCTTTGTCGTCCAGCAAGTGGCGGCCAGCACGACCGATCATCTGCAGCAAGTCACTCAAAGGATATGAGCGGTATCGTCCGTTCTGGAAATACTCGGTGCCTTTGATCACGACAAGGTGCGCCGGAAGATTGACTCCCCACGCCAGCGTTGACGTCGAGATCATCACTTGTATGAGACGGTCTTTATACAGTTTCTCGACTAGTTCACGGTCTCGACGCGCCAATCCAGCGTGGTGGAGGCCAATACCGAAAGACAGCGTGTGCTTCAGGGTCTCGTCCACGATTTGATTCGACTGGCAAATCGAGTCCATGACCGATTCGTCCATTTTCAAGAAACGCTTGCTACCGTCGCCACCCTCGTCCGAGGATACGCAGAACTGGATCAAGTCCAGCGCCGTCAGTTTGGTCTGTGCCTTGGAAGACACAAAGATCAGCACAGGTTTATCAGGAGAGTACGCCTTGATAGCCATGAAAGTCGGCTTATTCATTGCCGCCATGCGCGCCACGTAATGACGCTCCGGGAAGCCCTGGATGTGCACGTCCATAGGCACCGGGCGCGTGGACGCTGGAAAGTTGTATATTTGACCCCCGTCAGAGCCGTTTGCGTCGATTCCACCCAGCCATCGACCCACATCACCTGCATTTGCCAGAGCTGTGGACAGTCCAATAAGACGAATCGGAGGACCAGGGCGCTTGAATCGCCTAAGACGACTGATCAGTACTTCCAGTACGGCACCGCGTGGTACCTCACCGACTAGATGAACCTCGTCTGCAACGACGAGCGCCGTTTGAGCCATCAAAGCGCGACCCACCGTGCTGCTGCGCGTGAGCAAGTCCCACTTCTCGGGCGTCGTGACCACGATGTCGGCCTTGCTCAAGATGAACTCGACATTGACGAGCGTATCTCCCGTGACTTCGACCACTCTTTTGTGCAAATGCGCGTTCTGTTCGAATCGAGCCTTCCATTCTGCCACTTTCTCTCGGGCAAGCGCTTTCATCGGTGCGATGTACACAATCAGTGACTGCGCAGCAGTGGGCGTGTGGACCGCTGCAGTGTCCGAAGATCCCTCAGCTTCGCGTTGAACACTCTCGCCAAGCTTCTGCTGTTTCCACACTCGTAGCATAGCTAGCTCAGCGCACACCGTCTTGCCGCTGCCAGTTGGTGCGCATAGCAGCACATTTCCATTCTGGTGGTAAAGCTGGTGAAATACTTGCGTCTGGATCGGGTTGAAGTGCTGGAACTTGTCCACGTATAGCGCTTGGTAAACAGGGTCGTCCAGAGACTGAAGAGGTTGCGGATGCAGCCGAAGCAGTTTCGTGTACATGTCGCTTTTTTGTTTCGCCGACTCAGCAATAGTCGTCTCGCTCGGCGTGTAGCTCACTTCGTAATACGACTCGATACCAACAAACCGGTCGGATAGAATGCGAATCATGTAGCTTACCTCTGTTTGCATCGGTGTGATAAACACAGGAAGGTAGCACTCAACCTCAAGCGTCTGCGTACCAGCTTTCCAGCCAGCAAATTGGTTCTGGTGGAGAACGTAGTACTCCGAATGATAGATATGGCCAGTGACTGCGTCTTCAACCCATAGCCACGATGACAACGACTTGCCCTGAAACACCCCTTCTTTCCACTCTGGAAACAGTGGATACAGCTCAAACGCAAGTTTGATCATGGTACTACCGAATGGTTGAGTCTGCACGTTGTCGATATCGATAAACGGAGCACTCTGCACCCATTTCTTCACCTTCGCACTCAGGTTATAAGCGTCAGGGTCGACGATTGCGTCGTACAACGTCATATTGTGGCGACGGTCGAGTTCTCCGACGACGTCGTACGGCACATTCGGAAGCTGCAACAGCGCATTTTGGTCCCACCACATCTTTTGATCGATCGACTTGGCAAGTTGCAGGAACTTCTCCGCTTTTCGCGCACTGTTTTTCTTCAGGCATATTTCAAATAGCGCACGACAAACACGTGAGCCGTTCTGGGCGACGTAGTTTGTGTCCGAGATGAGCGTAAACGTCGACACACGAGCACGGCCAATGAGAGCTTGCAAAAGGACGTTCGTCTTTCCTGTGTAGGTATCCATGCCACCTCCTAGGATATCGAATCGGCAGAACCCACGCTTCAGCTTCTCCAACTCCGGCATCTCTTCCTCGCGCGATTTCAGTTGCTCAAACTCGTTACTACTGCATAACACCAAAAGCACCTTCTCCCAGTCTAGATCGTCCTGGTCGCTCTCTTTCTGGCCGGACTTGTCATCAAGGATGTCGTTGAACGTCTCGATGGACGTATGCTGTATGTAAAAGTGGCTTGCCACACGTCCCATTGAGGTCACGGCAAACGCGATCTTGCTTTCCTGACCAGAGCCCAACTGAACCTTCTCGCGAAGTATTTTGATCATTCGACACGCTGCCAATTTCTCTGCAGCATCCATCAACAGTTGTCGGCGTCGTACGGTCAACATCGGATCTTCGTTTACGTCGTCCAGCTTCATACCATAGGCTAGTGGGTTCTTTCGCATGCGTACGTATAGATACGTGTAGCTGAGCCACGTGCATGCCTCGTCTAGATTACTCACAGTGCCAGAAACTATCTCAGCGTTCAAGTGATCAGGCAAGGCTTTGATCAGAGACGACTCCATTGGTATTCCCGTAGTCAGCAACCGCAGATAGTGAGGTAATTGGTCTTGTGTAGTGACCAACACCGCATCTCCACTTGTGTCGTACTGCGGACGTCCAGCACGACCAAAGATCTGCATGACATCCAGCATACTTAGCTGCGTCATGCCACCTTTGTCGGCGTTATATACTTGGGTGCCCTTGATAATGACCGAGTGCGCTGGCAAGTTTACACCCCAAGCCAATGTCGCAGTACAGCAAAGCACGCGGATGTAGCCTAGTTCAAACAGTTGCTCTGTCAAGTTTCGGTCACTGCGCAGCATGCCGGCGTGATGAATACCCATGCCATACCCCAGCAGCTCCTTGAGTTCCCTGTTGCGGCTCTTTTGGACGCGCTCGTGCAGACTGATAGGCATTTGCAGCTCTGGGGGTGGTAAAAATGCTTCCAGCGTGCCAGGATCTTCTTCGTTATTACGCGCAAGCTCGACAATACTGTGCAGTGTAGCTGCCGTCTCTTTCCGTGAATGGACGAAAACCATGACCTGTTCGTTGTGCTTCACTTGCTGCAAGCAGTGGCCTAGCGTAAGCTTGTTCATCATTAGTTGGATTTGACGCTGTCGACTCATAATAGCACCTGCTGTCTTTTTCTCCTTTGCAAGGTCCTCATGACTTGCCGTCACCTTCGAGAGCGCTGTGGTACTCAGCCCAAGTGCCTCCTTCAAATTTGCATTTGTGCTCACGCCAATAAACGTTTGATCCAATGGTACGGGTCGGTACGTCGAGTCAAAGAAAAACAGCCCTCCCTTGCCACCGTTCATAGCCGCATTTTGCATGCGTACATCGCCATGGGGGACGTACACACGCAAAAATGACGCGACGTCAACGTAGTTCGGCAGAGTCGCTGATAGGCCGACAATACGGATCATACTCTGCGTGCTCTCTACGCGACGCAACGTGCGCGCCACGATAGTCTCAATGACAGGACCACGTTCATCCGCTAGCAGATGTACTTCATCAATGATCAGAAGCTTCACCCGACTGAGCAGCGACTGCTGAGTGCTGGACTTGCGCGTGATGACGTCCCATTTCTCGGGCGTCGTGACAATCACATGGGTCTCTTCGATCTCTCTCTTCGTCAGCTGCATGTCACCCGTAAGCTCGCGCACTTTCAACTTCAGAGTCTGTAGCCGCTGCCCGAACTTCGTTACCACTTCTTGCGCTAACGCCTTCATGGGAGCCACGTAGATGATCTTCATGTTGGCCACGCCTTGACCTATCGACTGGTCTTGATGTCGATGTAGCTGCGTCTTCACTTCCTGCAAGACAGCAAGCATCGCGACGTTGGTTTTACCGGCGCCTGTAGGCGCGCACACCAACAAGTTCTGATTCGAGTTGTACGCGGCATCAAAGAGCTTTGACTGCAGTCGATTCAACTTTGTAATGCCAAGAAACGCAGTCTGTGCAAACTTATCCAGACTCGAGATCGCCACGAGCGTTTCTGTCTTTCCTAGTGCCTTCTTTGCATGTGCGGGAATAAACACATGTTCATAGCCCTTGAAGTACGTCCTCTTGGTGCTCGAAGGTAGTGTCAGAGCTCCTGCAGCCACCAACTGACCTGCCGCTGCTGTCGAGTCATATCCGCCTTGCAACGCTCCAAACTCGCGCTGCACGAGCGACGTCGACTGGCATCTCCGTTCTTCCTCAGCCATCTCTCGCTGCAGGCGCAGTACTTCGGGGTCGTAGCCTGCCGCTTCCAGCCAATTCGGAGCATCTCGAGCCTCATTTCTCAGCTCTCGAGAAGCACGAGCCGTCTCAACTTTCTCGAGCCGCTTGTGCGCGTCCCGTAACCTCTGCTTCGTCTCTTTGGACGACTTTAAACTCACGATCTCCTTTTCATGCTGCACAGCAAAGGCAATTACGTCCATACCGTGCACACCAACGAGTCCAAAGAGCTGACTTTGCACGGAATCAGCGTCTCCTCGACTGTCCTGCAGAATCTGCAGCACAGTCTCCGCCAGCTCCAGAGGCGTCCAGAACCCTCCATCCTCCGACGAAGAATCTGCATGCTGCTTGCAGACTAATAAGAGCTGTTCCACTACGTCTGTAGTAGTCGTTCGACTGTTGGTCCCTCGAGGATCTTTACGCCTTGTAGACGTCGTGACGACGGCGTTGACGGCACCAGCTGAAGCTTCACGCTCATTGGCGAGACGAAGCGCATCGTGCTCGACCTGTAGCACCTTCAAGAGATCACTCGAAGACGCTGTATGAGCGAATGGCTGCGAAGTCTCAGGTGATGGAAGGCGACCGACTGTTGCGGGGTCGATACTGAGCGAAGAGAGCTGCAGATACCTGGCAAGGGATGTGTGGTCGCTGGAGGAGACGGCAGGTGAGGTAGTGGTGCAAGGAGCGGGGAAGGCGGAGCGCAAACTCGAGAGGAACGACGTCATGAACGCACTCGAGAGGGCGACGACGAGCTTTGGACTGGTGCGCGGTGTGCGGAAATAGAGAGGCTTGTATTCGAAGAGGTTAGTGAATCAAAAGAGCTTGGCTTGACTATGGCAGTTTGTTGTTGAGAAGATCCGGTTGAGACGACGCACGGCAGACCGATCCGTTGAATGTAGCCATGTGGTGGATGGCTACACATTCGGGAGAGGTGCTGGGTACGGTACGGTACGATACCGATATGCAGCGGCAGTACGGTACCGAAAGTAGCACACCCGCGTGAAGTAGGCATGGCACGCTGATCTTCGACGGTATCAACAACAGCTGTCTGCCTTTCTGCGATTACTGATAAGGAGCGAAAAAAGGGTCAGTGTAAATACATGGACCGTTCAGTTAAGCCGTCAAGACGGGTTTTCTACGCCTCGTCAGACTTTACGCCTCGTCATTCCTTTTCCATCATCACACACACTAGTGGCAATGTATCAAGGAAACTCCAAGCAGCAGCAGCAGTAGCAGCTGCATCATCGTCAGCAGCGCTCGTCTCCATCTTTCGTCCCTCCCTCATGAATCAAGTATGGCAGATGCCATCCATCACGAATAGCGTCTCGATGGACAAACGACCAGCGGACAACGGCTTTTCTGCAAACCTCGTTCAACGACCGGTGGCATAAACTGACTGCGTGCGACACGTGCGCGATGGGGTGCAGCAGTTTCTGATACGACTTTTGTGCGATGGCTTTTGCTGGAGGCAGTTCCAAGAAACCGTCCGACGGACGCAATAGCTCTCCGCACAAGCGAGTGGAACGAGCGTTTGCCACAAGAGAGAACAATACAAAGAACTGGTTCAAATTGTGTATTGCATTGGCCTTTGCTTCCTGCTCGTGCAGCAGCAAAAGGCCGGCGACGTCACTACTACTACTACTACTACTACTACTACTACTACTACTACTACTACTTCAAGACGGAGAGAACCACAGGGCACTGGCTTTCGACAATCTGGCAAGGGACAGCATCACATTGGGTGCGGCTGCAAAGCACGCGCCAGACGAGGCGGGACATGTGGCACGTAACGTTGCTGTCGCACGCGTCTGCTGTTGTCTTACTAGTGACATGACAGCAGAAAGACCACTGCTAGAGCAGAGCCGCTCGACTGCATTCGACACGGAGCTCGACTTTCTGTGTCGAGACCACTGGAGCTTACACGCGAGTGAACCTCACTGTCTCTGGCGAGAATGATAACGCCATAACGATGGAGTGGTATGGCTCTTCGTTCTTGACTAGGACTCTTCGTTCTTGACGGGGAAGTGTTGATCCACCACACGACCGGATGCGGCTGCTCCACGAAATATTCAGTCTGCTGTGTGTGTCTCAAGGATCGAGTACCCACGAAATGTTTTTTTGTAACATGGACAATTTGAGACATATAGCTTCTCGGCCTCTTCCATACGTCCGCGTCGCCATCAGTTCGACAGATTGAGCGGAAATGTGCACCGACAACTTAAGTTTGAGCTTGAGGCTGCAGCACAATGGCGAAAGTCGTAATGTACTCCGATCAGGCACGTGTCAGGGTCTCTTGACGGAAGTGGGTTACCGCGAGCGTCTACAATACGCTCAAGACAATCACACTTGCCACGTAGTGCTCGGCCATAATCACGAAACTGTTTCCAGATCTACAAGTCGAGCAATTGCAGGTGCATTCCAAAGCGCGATCACGACGACGAAGCGCGATGGCACATAGCGTGCGGTAATGCCCGACCGCTGACAGGCACGGGATTGTTCAGCGGAGGTCCGCATTGCGCCGAGCCAAGAAGCGACGACATTGTCGTGTGACTGCTCACAGTACAAGAGGTGAGCTGCAGAAGGTCACGGCTTCCGACGCAACAAACGGCGTGGTGTTGGGCTAGCTGACTAATGCATGTCGTGGTATTGCCTACTGTACAAACATGTAATGGTCGTCGAGACGGGTGGCAGCTTGCGTACGATCGGCTATAACGTGTGACCGACAGCAGCACACAGAAACATCCTACCGACACGCAAACGCCAGAGCCTTCAAGCTTCACGTGGCTTCTTGCGGTCTTCAACACTGGAGGATCAGATTCGCGTTAGCAGACGGCAAAGATGGCGTCGCTGACTGCGCAAACATGAGCAAGAGCTTCTTCGAAATCACAACCAATGCGTCCGTCCTTTTGCACGGGCACCTTTCACACCACTCGACACGTCCTTGCCAGCATTTACTTGTGCATGCCATATGGACGTGGATACCATCCAGTCGCCAAGTAGCTGCTGGATAGCATTCATGCAGTCTGACGCTGCCGGACCTGACCTGAACGCGGCGTCCCCTCGTGCTGGCGGTGTAGCGCAGCATTCTCGTTACGGTGTTGAAACGCCAACAGCCATCCGTTTGCACACGTGGTTCCACCGAAACGAACAGCTACGAGCCAGCCGTTCTTGGGGCTGTGAGCGCTTTGTCGAAGGGTCAGCAGCACGTCGTTCCACCACGCATCAGTGGTGTCTTCAACGAAGGAGGTGGGCGTTGTCGTGGTGATAGTGATGACCAGCACTTACCACCGACAGCAAAGACGATAAGGTCACCACCTCGCACAATCGGGTGACAGAGAGGCCCAACTCGTCACGTCTGCCTTCGGTCACGCACTCGCAGTCTGCGTAGCCGTTCAGTATCGCAACGTCGAGCTTTGTCAACCCACGTCGAAGACCGCACAACGTCTAAACCTCGAGCTACGTACATACGTACCCCCTCCTCCTCTATGTAGTCCTTGAGAGTGACCCTCACTACATACCGCCAACGCTCTCGTGGCACCATCTTCTCCAACGGAATCCAAGCAGGAAGTGGATATCCCACTCGCCCAAACCTCTTGCACCATGCACGAAAGAAAGACGACCGACATTGACGACACACTGCAACTCGCAGTTCACGGACAATCGATCATTCAATCAATCAATCGATCAATCGATCAATCGATCAATCGGTCAATCCCCCAGCCACGTCTTGCCCCGTCCTCCTCCCTCCTCGACTCTCCTCCCCTTCCTCCTCGCTCTCTTTGCCACGAGCCGACCTGCTCGCCCCCGTCCCCATCTCTGCAATGCTTCATGGCACTCTCACTCACTCGCCGCCCCAGAGCAGCTGGCGACTGGCACTGCTAAACGAGCCACTCGTTTCTCAACGTTCAGCTCGCGCAGCAGCAGAAAAAAAAAAAAACGGACGGCCAACGCGCGCCGTGGACAGTCTGCCCCCGCAGTAATCGCTCTCGTCTCTCTCTCTCTCCCTCTCTCTCTCTCTCTCTCTCTCTTTGGTCTCCGATCGGACCGTTTGTCGTCGACCTTTTTCCGTCGCGCGCCATACAAAAGAGACGCGCGCGCGCGCTTCGATCTCTCTCTCTGTCGCTGTTGTTGTTGTTGTTGTTGTCGTTGCTGCTGCTGCAATTCAAGTGCTGCGTCGCGCGCGACGAGAGGACGGACGCCGTCCACCCCCACCCCCCACACAACCGCTTGTCGAAAACGTGTCCGTGTGGCGCCCGTGTCGGTAGTTTTCGAAATGGTCCGCCGCCGCCGAGCGCCACTATGGACTGTGGCCACTGTCGCCTTCGCGCTCTGTGTCCCGACCGTCGCGGGGAACTACACAACCGTTGAGATCTACTCGGACGCCAACTGCGAGTCGATCCCCTTAGTCGTGACCTTAGAAGTCGTCGTCGCCGCCCACGACGACCACCACCACCAACAACAACCGCACCAACGGAGCAACGCCACCTCTGGCTGCACGTCCACTGACACGTGTGTGGCCTTGGAGATCAACGACTCGGTCTACTACTACGCGCGACGGTGTGCAACGGACCGCTTCGAGTACGCGTCGACGCTCTTTAGCGGCGCGAAATACCTCATGATCGACGGCTTCCGCGGACGCGGCTGCCGCTCGTACGTCCGGTCGAACATCTTCTTGGCGGCCGGCACCTGTCAACTCGCGTCGTACGTCGGCACGCGGAGCGAAATCGCGACGCTCTTTAACGACGGATCGGCCTACATGACGATCTACAACGACTCGGCCTGCAGCGTCAAAGCCCAGAAGTTCGACCTCAACGCCTCGACGATCCAGGAGCACGCGTGCTACCGCGGGTTCAACAAGTTCTACACGTCGGACCACACGGGCGTGGCGGCCGCAACGAACGCCGAGAGCGGCAGCGGCCGCAACACGACCGTGGCCACTACACAGCTCCCGCACGTGGCGGCCATGAGCACGAAAGCGCTGCTGGGGATCGTCGCTGCCTGCCTCGTGATTGTCGTTGTACCGGTCGTTGTGATCTACTGGAAAGTCCGCCGCACGAAGCGCAAGGACAAGCGCGCGCGGCGGACGCCGAGGCCCCACGACGTGGCGCTGGCCGTGAGTGGCAAACACGAGCTCGAAGAACAGTACGCGTTCGACGGGTCGCCTCGCAGCGGGCAGGAGAGTACCTGTCGCTCGTTCACGCGTCGGTCGGTGGCGTCGGCGTTGCAGACGAGTCACGTCGTGCGGACCGATGCGCAGCGGGACAGTCCGTTGGCTGCTCATGTACCAAAGAAGACGACTGAAGCGCTACAAAGTGGAGAGCTACGAAGTGGAGACGGGTTGCGCTCTGGATCGACTGGACAATGTGGTCGACTGCAGCCCCACGAGCTGTGTGCGCGTAGCAATCGCTTACAGCGTCAGGACTTGGCCAGTGAAGCTGTGTCGGGTCCTCCTATGCAGAGTGAAGGCGGTCTGAGGTCGGAGGAGAGGCAGCACGAAAGAGAGCGGAAGCATGTCGATGATCGAGCGGTAAGTGGTGGTCGGGTTCCGAACGACTCTGCGTGGGGCACTCCGATGCTGGACGCTGTTGATCTCCGAAGTCATCACAACGCACAGGGTCTTGTACAGAGTGATATGGCTCGTGGCACTGAACAAAACAGTGGCCAGCCGATCCATGCGCAACGCCTGCGGGGTCCAGTGACGAAGGACAGCGTGTGCGAAGACGACGCGGTTTTGTCGTCTCGGATTCCACGAGACAGCGTGTTTGTCGAGGACTTGATCGGTCGGGGAGGGTACGGCGAAGTGTATAAGGGCGTGTACGAAGGCCGCTCGGTTGCAGTGAAAATGCTGTTCCCCGAGACGAGGAAGAACACGCGCTACGTGACCGAGTTCCTGACCGAAGTCAAGCTCATGACAGTCTTGGACCACCCACGTGTCGTGCAGTTTATCGGTGTGTCTTGGAATAATTTGATGGACTTGTGTGTCGTGACCGAGTTCATGGCAGGAGGGGACTTGCGCGCATGGCTGAGCGATTGTGCAGACAACAATGGTTTGGTGGGCTTTGACTTCGCCAGAGTGAAAATCGCCACGCACGTTGTCCACGCGCTTGCGTACTTGCACGCGCTGACTCCATCCGTGATTCATCGTGACTTGAAATCGAGGAACATCTTGCTGAGCGAGGACCAAGACGCAAAGTTGGCTGACTTTGGTGCGTCTCGGGAGCGAGTCGATGGTACCATGACAGCAGGAGTTGGCACGTCGCTCTGGATTGCACCGGAAGTGACAATGGGCGAACGATACGATGAAAAGGCCGACATGTTTTCGTTTGGTGTCGTGCTGTCTGAATTGGACTCTCTACAGAATCCGTATGCCCACGCAAAGGAGAACAATCCAGCAGGACGCAAGATGCCGGACACAGCTATTCTTCAGCTGGTGGCTATGGGTAAATTACGCGTCGAGTTCTCTCCGAAAGCTCTCAAGGGAGTAGTCGAGCTTGGTACAGCATGTACATCTATCGATCCGACCGAGCGGCCCACGGCAGCTCAGGCATACCAGAAGCTCCAGATGATATTGAATCAAGAGGCAGCAAAAGCTGCAAACGTGAAATAAAGGTATAAGAAGAGGGGCCCTCACAATGTTTGGCTGGGAACTTGGATCCCGCTTCCGCGTTACGAGAGTTCTGGTGCAGCGTGCAAAACAGGCTTGAGAACGTTCGCATGATCTCGGCAGTGGTGAAGCCGAAGGCGTTGTCCAATAATCCATTACTGTATACACCGGTGGGTACTCCTTCCCCCCGGATGTAGTTGTACATATACTTGACTTTGGAAGTCCCGTCCGAGTCAGCAAAGCAGCTGTCGAATCTGGTCATCGGTACATTGTCAAGAACGAAGCAGAGCACGTGCGATCAGGATGGTGCAGACAAAGTCCGTGGCAATCCCTCGTGGACTTTTTCGGGAGCAGTGATCGCGACACGAAGCAAATTTAGTGCTGCCAGTTGTCGGTGCACTAGCAAAGCTTCGAAAGTTGCCGCCGTTGAGTCCTCGACGAGCGATCGAACAGTCGCTGGCGTCTATAGTCACCGCACTTCTGGCATCCATCCTCTGGGCGGGTCTATCTGCAGCTACTTGAGTCCTTGTCGTGTCAATACTGAATACAATATTCTTGTAGCCTGCATGGCTCGATTGGTATCTCTCTATGGTGAGCGATCGACCAAACGAGAGCGAGAGTTTGGTGTATGACCTGTTGTTGCAGATATCTCGGCCACCCACTGACTGACGCCCGTTCACGTTGTCACCAATGCAAATGGAGACTTGTGTATCGTGCCTTTGCCTGTTTTCCAGATCGAGGACGTACCTGAAATATTACAACATTGGAACAACACATTCGTTTCAACAATGTGTTGTTCCGCCGTTCGTTATATAATTGTCAATGGCAAATCTACGTTCTCTATGCCAACGCTCGAACGTTTCGTGACCTTCTTCCACAAGTAGTGGCAAATTATGTTGAGCATGCCATCAGAGATCACAATACGCGCTCTGCTACTTCGTTTTCGATAGCGTCGACGACTCAGATCGCTAACAACAACGTCAAGAAGTCCGTGTCGATTCGGTTCTTTGGTGCTGATTGCTAGAAGGAAGAGCCGATCGAAGAAGTCAAAAGATGAATTTGTGATAGCCGCACGTTCAGTGAGAAGTCGCGACGAGGGCGGACTATGGTCACGCGTACAATAGTATTGCAGTGCGTTCGGTGCTTCCACGGACATAGCAAGCATGGAAGCAGCAGAGAGCGTTGGATCGAGACGTACAGAATTTGTTGACGCTCTTTCACACGTGTGGTCAAGGAAGCTTACATGTATGTTTACCATCCTTTTGACAGCTCTGTATTGCACCTGGGATGAACAAAGTGCACAAACTCTGCAACCGCAACAAGTTTGGGTCGCACGATGCCAGCGCTGCAAACTCCCTAGTCGTAGCAGACTCTTTTGATATGCGCGTCAGTTATGCCAAAACAAGCACAGCAAGCTTCGATCCGTTGGTCTGTCCGACGAAGTGTGAAACACTTGCGTGCCCTTTTCAGGGCTTTGTACAATCTGCGTTCATGTCATGTATGACGAATACACGTTCATTCCACTGACACAGCGGTTGGCATGAATGATTCGTGCACGGCATGTGCTCGGTCCTTTGTCTACGTAAGTGTGACAACGTCTTGCTGGTGACTTACTTACGCTCGGCGCGCGGTGTATCATGGCTTTTTGTGATGCCATCAACGCTTCAGGTGCGGCTTCTATCCACAAGATGTTGCCAAGCAACGAACTCACACTTCAGTCATTGTTGTACAGCGTATGTGGTTGTGCTGTATGTACTTGCGTTTACGACGCCTGCTGTGGTGCCGACTGAGGCCACGACTTTGACTGATCGTTGCGCCAGCAATGATCTGGTGACACACGTGTCAGTGATGTGTGCTCAACCCATCGACGAATAAATGATCATACGTCCTTGTTCCAACATAAGTAGAAATCCATTTGTTTGCAGACGTATGGAGCAATTACTTGCTACCGCACCAGTCCCGCTCTTTCCTTCTTTTGGTCGTCTTTGCCGTTGCTTTCGCTTACACAAAACGAAGACAGCTATGTATCGATTGTACGCACGACTTACGTGGTATGGCTTTCACAACAGTATCCCTACGGGCCATTCCACACCCATCTCGTCGTGCTTGAGTAAGCTCGCCATGGCAGCATTCAATACGACAGACATCGAACAGCATCATGCAGCTGTAGTCGCTACAAATATGCGTAGAAAGACTTATCACGACTCCTTCGTACCGATAGGGTCCATGGGTCGGCATGCATTTTACGCTTGTGCCTCCGATCATTTTACAGCTCAATCTTCACCGCAGCGCGTACTGTACCTGAACTATAACGAGAGGACGAGCGTACACACGTTGTAAGTCCTGAAACTGTGGCGGATGTTTGTATTCTAACTACCATCTTACATACACATCAATCGCAACACACATTACGCGATAGTAGTCGCAAGAAAGTAGCAACAGGCTGTAAAGAAGCACGACGCTCGAGGTCATACCGCTGCGTAGTTAAGTCGGCAGAGAGACGAGCTCGCAAATGGGGCCACCGCGTAGGTGCTAATGCATAGGTCCATTTCGACGAGACACGGGCGTACGGGGTGTACCTGTCGAAGTGAGACCCAGTATGACAACTAGCCAAGAGGTGTACATGTAAGACGTATGAGTCGATACATGCGCAATGTCGGCCACTTCAGTAACGATATGACATGACTTGCTACCTTTCCAATCGCTACGTCCGCGCAGTCTGTGGCAATCTTGTGCCTAAGAAGCTCGTCTTTGCGACAAAGTGCAGCTTACAACGTCCTGGAGCATTGACGGCGACCACTACTGCATTGTTTGTAAGAGCGAATCCAAGACGACACAGGCGCACAAGTATATAAACGATGAATGGCAAAGACGGTCGGATACGTTCTTGATGCGCAGTCAATTGACAGCTTTGGTGTTGAGATGAGTGGGTGATGGTACATTGCTGCAAGCATTGCATCTCATTGCAAACGACACGTGCAGATCTGGATACTGCGTAGTAGCAACCATGCAAATGATCAATGACACGAGCACTAGTGTAACAATGAGGTGGGGAAAGCGATGTGGTGTTCTTAACACGCCAAAGAAAGCTAACTTGTACTTGTACCTTTGCCGTGTCGATAAAGTCCCGGATCTGCAGCAAGTGCAAGCCAAACTACCGCCTTCATCAATGCAGGACCTACTCAAGCACCTCCAAGTCTCTGAGGTCCTTGATTCAAACCAAAAGCTAGCCCAGTCGCGACCACCCGCTATCTTCCAATCTCTAGCGACACACGCACGGGCTAATCGGGATCAGACGGCAAAAGAAAGTCCTCACGCAGTGACATGGCGAGTCGTAGAAGCTGTCTCGGTGGTGCATGATCAGCACTGTCAATGAACGTGGTGTCCTCTTGGTGGATTCTTGACAAGTCGCTGGTCTTTGTAGACTAACAAGCACGAGAGCCTCACGATACCGACGAGGACAAGAAGCTACGAAAGCCCCGTACGGCTGTCCAAAAGTCCATGTGACAACCGTACCACGTTGTGACTGGACGTGAGACAGTAATATTCAATCGAGCTGATGCTGTACATAGTCTTCTCGTACCCCACGCAGGCAGAGGCTATGTACTAAACATCGCGATGTCTGCTGGTCGCCGAGACCATCGACGCCAACCGGTGAAATCAGGAGGGAAGTTGGTGCACGCGCTCACCATTATTGAGGTCACGACGAGGTCACCGACAGACAGACAGACAAATAAATAAACAGGTAGCAGCAGCTGATCTCGCACCGACTTGAAACGGCGATTTGCAGACGGTATTCAGCGGCCGATCCATCACGTCTGCCACTGGTCCGTCCTTCCAGCAGTAGCAGCAGCAGCAGCAGCAGCAGCAGCAGCACTCGTCTACCACGGGAAGTAGAGAGAGAGAGAGAGAACAGACAGTCTATAAACACGATAATGATGTGTCCAAGACTTTTGGAACGTCCCAAGAAATCTACCACAGGAAGTCGTACGACCTCTGGCCGTGGTCCTGTCCGACATCCGGTAGACAGTCTGTCGATGCTGCGTCGCCTGTGTGGCGGGCAGACAAACTACATGACGCACGTCCATGCGAACGCGTGTGCGTTAGAAGCCGGGGACAACAACAACGTCTGTCGCTCGTGGCCGTTCAATTGGACACCGATCCAGTCAGTCGCGCGTGTCGTCGCGACGCCGGGACGACACAAGGCGGTAAGCTCGAGGCTCGCGACACACACGCACATACGCACAGGTGCCGGTGTTTCGGCCACGCGATATGGTCGCAGTAATCTGTCCGGTCCCCGCTGCAAGTCCATTTGCTTGGTGCAAAGGCGGGCACGCTGTGCTTGGGATGGGGAACAAGTGCATGATCGTAAGGAACCTGAGCACAAAAAAGACTCGCGCAAAGGCCAACTCGAGCCACAAAAAAGTTTGCAAGTAGCGCAACCTGTTGCGCTCGACGCGTCGAAGACGACCGGTCACCGGGTAATCGATTGACCTCTCCACGTATGTACCGATTGACAGATATAGTGGACATCCGCTTTGCCGATAGCGGAGACCGTCGGGCCTGCACACCGCTTGTCGCGAGACAGCCGATCAAAAACGCCTTTCGACTGCTCCTCCTGTCCACATAAATTGTTGTTGTTGTTGTTGTTGTTGTACGGACGCGACAATGTGCGTGCCGCCGATCGCACGTGTCGATCAGTCACCATAAAGTGTCTCCTTGTTTTTCTTCCTTACGAACGCACGCAGTCTGTCTGTCTATCTGTCTATCTGTCTATCTGTCTGTCGCCAAACTGACGACGAGGCGCGTGTGGGTTTCCACTCGACCCTCTCGTTGTCAGTTCATGGTGGCAACGCGTTCGCCCGCTCTATCCAAAGAACACACGCCGTCGATGCGTTTTCTTGACGCGTGTGCTAATGACGTGCATCGCGCAAGGCCTGAGGTTGGACGATGCAGAGTTTCTGTACCCCTCAGGCTGTTTCTCGAGCGGACCAGAGTGCGGCGGCAAGTGCAGTGTGCAAAAGTTGGCACACGTCGCAGCAGCAGCAGCAGCAGCAGTAGACCCCACGAGTCGCTCCTCTTCGCTGCCTCGCGAGGCGTCGATCCCTCGTCGACCACTTTCTGGTCTTTACGTCCCTCACGCACAGCTTCCCGTCCCAGCGCTCACCTCCTCCTTTGAGACAACTAAAGTTGACAAACAGCGACAATGACCGACTACTCGATGGCGTCGCTGCCCAACATCACGGTACGATGCAGCACCGATCACCACACCTTATAGTCTCTTCCTCCACCTCTTCCTCTTCCTCTTCCTCTTCTTCTTCTTCTTCTTCTTCGTGTCTAACACCGCCTGTCGTGACGTGCACAGACTACGATCGTCGGCCACGTTAAGGACTACAAAGTCGTAGACGCCGAGGGGTCCGACGACCAGGTCAGGACGTCGTTCGACCCGACGCCATCGTCCGAACTCGTACCCCTCGAGGACCAACCGGACGGCGCGACGCCTGCGCCGGAACTTTCTCCGTCGCTGGCCAACCCACCACCGGCAGCACTGCCGCCCCCTCTGGCAACGGAACCAGAGACCGGGGCAACGAGTCCAGCAAAGCCGATTTCCACCGAAACGGACAACAAACTGCGGGCGTCCGGCGGTGCGATCGCCGGCATCGTCGTGGGCGTCGCGTGTCTGATCTTCATCATTGCTGCCTTCGTGACACGGAGGCGACGGGCCACGGGCAAGCGGTTCTCCTTCCGCAAGCGCCAGTCAATTTACGGCGACTCGCGGTCCGTGTCCGTCTCGTCGTCCAAACTCGAACCTCCAGGCGCGTTCGGGAAGCTCAATAGCAACCGCACGACCGATTCGGGGAAGCCAAACATGAACGGTCTGTTCACTGCCACGCACGACGATCCGTTCACGGTGCGCCACATGCGCAAAGGCGGGATCTGGGACGACCCGTTGCTCGTAGCGGCGCGCATTCCGCTCGAAGAGATTCAGATCAAGGAGCTCGTGGCGCGCGGCGGCTTTGGCCAAGTCTTTACGGCCACGTACAAGGGGCAGACCGTTGCCGTGAAGACGCTGTTGCCCGAGACGGCCAAGGACATGGACGAGATCAATGCCTTGTACGCCGAGAGCAAGATCCTCGCGAAGCTCGACCACCCGTGCATTGTGAGCTTCATTGGCATTGCGTGGGGATCCCTTAGTACCGTGTGCTGTGTGACCGAGTACCTGGTCGGAGGGGACCTTCGGGCCCTGCTGAACCACTTTCTGGTCAACCAAACGCGGCCGCAAGGGTTTGACCACGACAAGGTCAAGATCGCGCTCAACATTGCCCAAGCACTGGCCTACTTGCACTCGCTCGAGCCTAATATGCTGCACCGGGACCTAAAGTCCCGCAACGTGCTCCTGACGTCCCAGTTGGATGCTAAATTGACGGACTTTGGCGTGTCCCGCGAGCGGTCGGACTTTATGATGACTAACGCCGTGGGCACGTCGCTCTGGATGGCCCCCGAGGTCATGTTGGGCGGCCACTACGATGGCAAAGCTGACGTGTTTTCCTTCGGTGTGCTACTAAGTGAACTGGACACACATCAACTGCCGTACGCGAACGTGCGAAACGCGAATGGACAAAAGCCAACGGAGAATACGATTCTCCAAAAGACCTCCAAGGGGGAACTGCAGGTCGAGTTCTCCCGTGAGTGCCCCGCAGAGCTCTTGACGTTGGCCCGCGCGTGTCTCTCGGTGAACCCCCACGACCGCCCCACAGCTGCAGATGCACTGTATAAATTGCAACACGCGCTCACGTCGTTCGAAGTAGAGGAAGTGGCGCTGTAACTTGATGATGATGATGACGATGATGATGATGATGACTAGAGTCAGTTTATGGATAGACGTTTAACGATATGAAGTTTAGTGTGCGATCAAGTAGAGGTGCGCAGTCTGTCCCCACATGACAGAGCTTAATAGTAAACATGGAAAAGAACAACCGATACGGATGGAGGAGCACTACTTCCTGACTTACTGAATGCACCCGACGGAAGAAGCAGTCCGTCGTCTTTGTACTACCAGACGTAGTGCTATCGTAGCAAACAGACCATAACGACGTGTCAACAAGTGCTCGTTGCATTGGTTCTGCCTGTCTATAGTAAGTAGGGTCAATGCCGTCACATGGCCGTGCACGATCAGTCAAGTGGAGCATCTTTGGCTGTCAGAAGTCGTCGTAGTTGTCGACCTCTCGAGTTGTTGTCGACGCGTTCGCAACGAGGTCAGTGGCGATCCAAAAGTTGCTTGGAACGTTGTCGTCGCCATGTTACCAGCTACAGCAAAAAGGTCGCGATGCACGCTGCAACATGACAACAGTGCTGCAACGTTGGACAGATCACTTGCAGACGTGACTCGTGTAGCTCTGCTGCACCTGTACCTCTTCACCTCGCAAGAGGTGCACGACAAGAGCACGCAAGTGGCACTGGAAACATACGTGAACTAGCGCAAGGGACATGCGCAAGAAACACACACGGCGTGACCACTTGACCAGTGGACTGAAAGTGTGCAAGAGCCTCTTTTTCTGCTGTTCGGTATGCAGCAGTCGCTCTTCAATCTCGTCAAAGGAGGCTGACTGCAGAGAAGAGAGAAGTCACGCTGCTCGACAGCTTCCGAGCTCAGGTTAGACGCTGTCTGAATACAGGCGTTGGGTCCCTCTCGCTTCTCACGTACGTATGTATGTACGTATGTATCGATGGACGTCTGCATGCATGTGGTATATATGTGTGTGTACGTATGTTCGCATGTATGCCTTGACATTCGAAAGTTATTCGAAAAGTGTCCGTAGCTCCTCAATAGTACTGATCAGAAAAGCGGTTGCGAGTCAAAACCACTTGCGCCGAGTGCATATGTTTGTATACCACCTCATGCCGACACGTGCACGTATACTACGATTGGTCACGCACTCACTCACGCACTCACTCACGCACTCACTCACTCACTCACTCACTCAATCTATTCAGCTCCTTTGTCAATACTATGGTCTTCCAATTCCACCGGCTCCGCCATGTCAGCACAACCCGTCCACCTCCTCAAGCGTTCAGCACTGCAAGACGACATTCTCCACACCTCGTGGCCAGCAAATCTTCCCACGGCCACGAACCGACTGAGTCCCCGACCGTCCCCCCGCAGACGCAGGCTCTCCAGCGTCAGCAGCTCGAATTCTGCTGCATAGTGTGTGGATGGGACGTCGCGTGCAGCACGTGCCCCTTCCAGTGGTTCGGCTTTGATGCAAAAACGATCCGCTCGAAGCGTCGAAGCCGAAGCCGAACGGGACATACAGACGCTGACGTGCCCACCACAAGAGCGCACGAGCGCGACCTCAAACAGGCAATGGACATACTCGAGATCAGGTCATCAGCGGGTAGGAATGGAATCGCAACGGAGCTGCCCACGCTGCAGCAGGTGAAAGACGCGTTCCGAGCCAAAGCCCTCGAGTGGCATCCCGACTGCAACTCCGATCCGCGCGCCCGAACGCAGTTCCCCAAACTGCTGCGCGCCTACGAACTGCTACGTCAGTACGCTCGCTAGGAAGCGACCCGACTCGAGGCGACGACTTGTACAAGTAGTCGCGAGCTCTGTAAACGTGTACAAAACGAAACCAACGAGAACAGCAACACAACGTGGTTTCAATAAGTACCCAACCGCATCCCCCCTGTATACGTCCATCGATCGATATACACACGCTCGTCCACAACGCCCCCCCCCCTCCACAAAACCTGTCGACAAGACTACTACGACTCGACGTCGCCATCAGCCCACCCAAAAGCCCACTCCTCCTCGAGAACTCCATCCCCTCGCTTACTCGATACCCCGTCTATTCCGATTCAATCCACTCGCGTACCCATTCTGTCCCGCCACTCACCCGAACGCTGTCCATCAACAACAACAACAACAACAGCAACAACACTAACACTACTACTGCCACTGCAACTGCTACTGCTACTGCTACTGCTACTGCTCTCTCTGTGTCTCTCTCTCCTCATGTTCTACTCGCAGATCATCTTGGCCAAGAAAGGGCCACTGGGCAAGATATGGCTCGCGGCGCACTGGGACAAGAAGCTCAACAAGCAGCAGATCTTCACGTCGGACATCCACAGCTCTGTCGAGAGCATAGTGCACCCGCAAGTGCCGCTCGCGCTGCGCGTGTCGGGCCATCTGCTGCTCGGCGTCGTGCGCATCTACTCGCGCAAAGTCAAGTACCTCTACGCCGACTGCAGCGACGCACTGGTGAAGATCAAGTTGGCGTTCCGGCCCGGGGTCGTGGACCTGCCGGCGACGCTGCATCAGGCCGCCCCGCAAGCCATTAATGTCGCGCACTTTGGCGACTTTTTGGACGCGGACGTGGCGTATTCGATTGAGTAGGTTTTGTGTGTGTCTGTGTGGGTTTTTTAGTGATGTGTGGTGGTGGGGTTTTTTTCGCTGGGCAAATGGGGGTGATGGGGAGTAACGGGTTGTTGGTTGTGGGTGGGTGGGTGATTGTTTGGGCTCTTTCGCTCTGTCTCTCTCTCTCTCTCTCTCTTGTGGGTGTGAACGTGTTGTTGATGGCAGTGCAATTGCTGTGCCGTCGCTGGACGAGTGGATGGCTGCATCGAGCCAGACAGTGACGAGGCGTCAGGACATTACCCTTGCGGATCCACTGGACAGCAGGAGGTTGGAACGAGGTGCGAGCGCGAGTGTCTTTTTTTTTGTAGCGTTGTTCTTGTGATGCTTTGTACTGACGTGTCTCTTGTGTGTTTTTGCTGCTGCTGCTGTTGCAGATGCGATTGCGATGGAAGATTCGTTTGGAGGCGGCGACGGCAGTGATTGGCAGGCGTTTGATCTCGATGACAACTTTGGCAGCTTTGGACTAGACGCGAGTACTGTCAGTGACATTGAGATCGCACGCGATGCCGATGCCCCCATGTTGCCGCCAGATGACTCTGGGCTGTTGAATACCAGCGACAAATTCGTGGACAAAAGCGCTGTGCTAACGGAAGAAGAGCCGCAGGAATTTGGGCTCAACGACGCGTCGTTTGAAATGCCTGGCGACGACAAAATGGAGATGGGTGATCCTCTTGACGACCCGGCAAATGTCAGTGGCCGGACTATCGATATCAGCACGGACATTCCTGGAAGCATCGATGGCTCGACGCGTGCGTCGCTGGATGCTGCATTGGCCAATGTGCAAGTGGAGACGAAAAGGCTCAAGAAACGACGAAAACTTGCACGTGACAGCGTCACGGAACTTACCTCGGCATACTTGAAGCAGGGCATGGCAGATGCTTCCGACATTACCCGCACGCGGGAAATCACGTATGGTAAGACGGCAGAGCACAAGAGCGACTTCGACTTGCAGGTGAGTGCAGACATGTTCGCTCGACCGTGCATGGTCCACATGTCGGACAAGCTGCTGAGTATGTTCAAGTACACAATGAAGAAGCGAAAGTTCCCGTTTGGCTCCAAGCAGAAAGAGTCTGACCACGTGGAGGATATCGAGCTGACTCGGCGCATGAGCTCAACTTCACGTATGAGCTCGAACTCGGTATGTTGCGGGTTATGTTTCTCACCACTGCAGCTGCAGCATTACCTCAATGACACTATGTTATGTTCAGACTGGTTTAGATGTGACGATGGGGTCGTGCGACGGTTCTATGCTGCATGACGCCGACGATGAAAACCGATTCGAGTTTGCCGACATGGGCCTAGCCGAACCGTAAGTTGGTTCATTGTGATAGAATAAGCAATATGAATTGGGCAAAGCTTATCATTGCGATTGCATTCCAGTGAACACCTCGATGAGGCTTTTCCGGACTACGATATGGGAGCACCGTTTGAGCCTCAAGATCAAGACCTCGAAGATTTGAACGTGGATATCGAGCTAGGTGCTGTGAACGACATTCGAAGCGATGCGCAGGACGGTGCCGCCCTTGACCACACGGATGCTTCGACAGCTCAGCACAAGTGGCATCCACACACTGTAAAGGTGATGAAAGTGCTGCGAACGTCGCTTCACAAGAACGAGGAGGTCACGTACAAGCAGCTAACGAAGAAGACTCAAGACCGGCGGACAGCTGCCGCGCTCTTCTTCGAGCTCCTGCAGCTGAAGACTCTCGACTATGTGGACGTGGAGCAAGCTGCGCCTTACGCTGATATCAAGATCTCGAAGGCTGCTCGGTTCTCGGAGCACATCCCGGCTGTGGATCGTGACGCTAGCTGAGCGATTGCAATTTTCGATGCGTTCGACTAAATACGGCTTATGAGGGTACAATGTGTTCTGCTTTCCAGGTCGGGTCTCGATCTCTTGCATGTTTGCCTGGTTTCTAGTTGCTGAGAGCGATCCGGTCGTCCAGGTGCGTGTCTTCGCGCTACATGCGGTACCACTACCAAGAATTGGCATGGGAAGCAGTAACAGACCCCAAGAAAATGCATAGCGTACCTGACTTCCGGTTGTCGGTAGAAAGTATCCACATAGATGACATGCAACAAGCGCCGTTTGCATTTGGAGGCGTTTGCGAGAATGTTGACATGTGTCGTGTCATGAAGATGAAGACTGGGCAACGCACAGGTGCTGGACTTTGTGACCGTCAGTTCGCGGATCGACGGACAATGTGTTCTGGGTGAAAAAGCGTGCGAGAGAGAATCTGCTTCCAGCCTGAGCAAGCCCTTCGATTTACAAGCGCTGGAGACCTTTGCTATCAAGCGTTGACAATAACATACAAGCTGCTCTTGCATTCATGAAGCAAGAGCTTCGGTAGTTGCAACGACCAACGATATCGTGTTGTCAACCTCTTGGATAGCAGCATTTATGCTGACACATTCGAGCTGACAAGGACACTATAGGGGATTCATGGTGACGATGAAGTGGACCATTGGCTGCTAGAGGATGAAGAAAATCACAGCGACACAGGAAGCATTTGATCGCGCGAAGCTAGACCTCGTCTCCGGCAACGGGCATCGTCGATGCCTCAGTGTCGCCGGTCAAAGCATGCGTCAATTCTCGACTTGCTGATCACTTTCGCGAGCAACCGGTACCAGCATAAAATTTGATCTCCGATGTGATAAGTAGCCTACTCAAGGCCCTGCAGATGTTCGAAGTCAATACAAACGATGCTGGCAAAACGGCGTCCAAAGCCCGGGTTGTCAGCTCGGAATCGCGCTACAACAGAATTTATGCGGTCAGCATCTCGAGCGATCATGCGTACAAGCAGAACGCTCGACGTATTCAGTCAATGCTGCTGACCGAAAATAGTAATGAACTTCGAGAGTCGCGTTGCTGGCTCGAGACCAAGTGTGACTGCTGGATGGAGTTCATCGTAGAAGCTGCAAGTTGCAGTGCTGTCTCACGTAGCAAGGAAGGGATCCAGTCGCAGTGAGCATGTATTGAGCGCAGACGACAGGCCAACACTGAGCAGATATGTTTACTCAGCCAAAAGTCCGACTGCGATCGAGTGAAGCGCTGTTTGAATGACGCTGTTGGACAAATCTCACGGCGTGTCAAGTCCGGCCATTGATGGTGTCGTCAGCGACCAGCAACAGAAACGACTAGAAAAATCGACGAAGCATCCGCTCGAGAGTCCGTAAAACATGAATTGGTGGCATTTGCGCATGTACGCATGAACTACCTCAATTGTTCGACCGCGACAAAGATTGTATGTGATCGAATCGTGGTTCGGTGTCGTGTTCGACGTGACGCAAGATATGTGGATACCAGCCGAGTCGGACGCGAGTTGCGTTGTTAAAAGGCTGCATCAGCATCAACGTTGTCATTTGCATCTTTGTGAATCAACAAGACCGAAGCTCAAGTCAACCTCAAAAGTATTCTGGCCACTTTGTGTTCAGAGTATATCAAGATTGGATGATCACGACTCGATACGTCCATGGTTAATTCTCCTGTAACGTTTATCATGGTGATGTAGGTGATACTTGAGTGGACAGAGCACAAGACTGGTGATCTTGCCGACTCTGCGTCTGGTATCTCGATAAATGGATCTCACGATGGACATGTTCAGAACGTTGTGCTCCCTAAGCAAGCTGGTGTTGCTTGAATCGATGCTGTCGCATTGTACGATGGATTCTCGACAACATCGCATGTAACACCCAAAAGTTTGCGCTGATTGCGAAGTACTCGAAGAGACGCATAGTTATCGTCATGAAACCCTTTAGCAACTTTGACGTCCATCTCCTCGTTCCAAGGATCAAACACGTATGAAGAGCTGAGCAACGAATTGCCGTTGCATCGAAAGCGCGTTCGAACCTATTTATTTATTTATTACCACGAAAAGCGTCATCACACACGTTCTATCTGCCAAGACAACTTGATGGCGTCTCGCGTGGCTACACATCTAGAAACCCATCTGAAAGGTCATAATCAGCTTGACTACCACACGCGCACGACCGCACAAAACAGATGGAACCGATCGACACAATCTAACGCACGCGTCGCAACTCGGCGCCTTTCGGACGACCTCACTGCACGCACCTTCGTGCAACCTCACCACCAACTCCCCCAACAAAAACGGTTGGCTCCCAGCCGTCCACGGCCCCAAACATGAGCTGCTCGTCCATCACTTGGGATCTCGGGCCGCTCCGTCAGAAGAAGAAGCAGCAGCAGCAGCCGATCAAGCCAACAACCAAAGCCGACGCACAATGGCCGCCAACATCTCCAAGAAGCGCAAGTTCGTCGCCGACGGTGTGTTCTACGCCGAGCTCAACGAGCTCCTGCAGCGGGAGCTCTACGGCGACGGCTACTCGGGCGTCGAAGTGCGCGTGACGCCCATGCGCACGGAGATCATCATCCGCGCCACGCGGACGCAGGAAGTGCTGGGCGAGAAGGGGCAGCGCATTCGCGCGCTCACGTCGGTCGTCCAGAAGCGGTTCAACTTCCCCGATGGCGCCGTGGAGCTCTACGCCGAGCGCGTGGCCAACCGCGGACTGTGCTCGCAGGCGCAAGCAGAGTCGCTCAAGTACCGTCTCCTCGGTGGGCTCGCCGTGCGTCGCGCGTGCTACTCGGTCGTGCGCTTTGTCATGGAAGCCGGTGCCAAGGGCGTGCAGGTCATTGTGTCTGGCAAGCTGCGCGCGCAGCGTGCCAAGGCCATGAAGTTCAACGAGGGGTACATGGTCAAGACGGGCAATGCCTCGCAGGAGTACGTGGACACGGCCGTGCGCCACGTGATGATGCGTCAGGGTGTGCTGGGCGTCAAGGTGTCGATCATGCTGCCGCACGACCCGACGGGCAAACAGGGCCCGAAGCGCGCCCTGGACGACGTGGTCACGATCCTCGAGCCCAAGGAAGAAGTGTACCGTCCGTACGTAGAACCTTCGAGCCCGATCGTGCCGGTCGCGTCGCCTGTGGCGGCTGGTCCCGTGGACCCCATGTACCAACCCATTGCTTGAGCTTCGCCTGTCTCGTAGTAAGGACAGTGTAATGGTAATCTACAGACTTCTTCTTCTGCGTTTGCCTCTGTCTCTGCTTCTGCTTGTTGTCTCCAACGTCGTGGTACGAGAAGAGAACACGTGATACTGTCGAGCGTTCTTGAGCTGCTCGGTATGTTCGAAGAAGCCGTCGTGATGGTGCACTTGTGATACATGAGCCGATGACTCGAACGGTCGGAGGATGTTCCATAATTGAATGGCTGAGAAAGCGGCGCAACGTGCGACTTGTGCGCGGTGCACACGTCCGCCTCAAGTGTGCTACTGTCCGTCGTTACCGCCCGACCTATTGGCGACAGAGCGGACGCATGTGCTGGTGGTCCAACACAAGCACGAAAAACGTCGACGTGCAGCGATTTCGTCCGTGCCGATCTTGGCACAGAGTCTGCAGAACGTGACACTTGTGACAGTAGACGACGACTGCGACTGCAGTCCTGGCGTGCACAGAGACCTCGACGAGCTGTTGTACGGCGGAGGTGATGAGCCGATGGACGCTGCACTGGTCTTGTTCCCAGACGATCGCGCGCTGCCACTGGAAGCGATAGGTGGCGAGTCGACGAGCATCCGAAGCTCCAAGCGAGTGCTGCTGGTCGTCATTGACGGCACATGGAGAGAGGCCAAGAAGATCGCACGACGCAATCGAAACACATGGGACCAAGCGGCTCAAAGTTGGGAGGCGCGGGGGGCGAGGTTCCACTACGTCTGTCTGGGTACGAACAAGCGTGACGACGGAGGTCCTGGTCCATCGAGCATCTATGGCGACTTGAGGCGGTGCGTACAGTAGCTGGTCCGTGGCATCGAAAGAGCGTGGGCTGGACTTGATGGAGCTTGCATCGTGTGGTTTGTTGTTCGCAAGAGAGCCGATGGAAGGCTGCATGTCGACGTTAGAAGCTGTAGCGTCGGCACTGCGGGTTCTCGAACCTGCATCGACTGGTCCGGGCGTGCACGATTCGCTACTGCATGCGTTCCGAGCAATGGTCTCGATCCAAGAGCAGTACCAGGAGCGAGGACGAGAAGCGAAACTGAAGCAGTATGGAGGGATCTCGAAAGCCCAAGCAGTCGAGATGAAGCGACTGGAGGAGCGGCAGCGTCAACAGCTTCACGCGTACGTCGACATCGTCCCTGCCGGGACAACCCCTTTGACGCATGTCAGGCGTGAGTACGTGTTTTACTCAAGCCGAACGGACCTGCACCATTACCAACAGCTCTTGCAAGAGGTGCATACGCATTGTTGTCTCTTGTCCATGTACTTTCGAGCGCACCAATTGACTCCTGGCAATGACTGTAGGGCGACGTGGTCACGTGCACGTACGACGAGGCGAGAGACCGTTGCGTGGAGCTCAATTGCGATCGAAAACGCGGCCAACGCATCGCTATGCTCTCGCTCGATGCCTTCCAGAAGAAGGTCACGATGGCGAAAGAAGCGTAACACATGGACGGGGTACAACTCAAGACGTGTAGTGCGAGACCAAACGCTAGACAGGTACCACCGAAAAAGGTGCTCGGAAGCATATGATACCACGGAATGTTCCGTGGTATCATATGGCAACAGTTGTACCTCCCCATCTTACAGCAAACGATCCACTTGCCAGTCGAGTTCATGTGTACGCTGAGAGGTTCAGATCGTCTACTGCCTCTCTTGTCCCTTCACTCGTGTAAGCAAAAAGGTATCACTCTCTCATGTCCACCAGTTCTTGCAGTCATCACGACGACGTCCCACATCCCACAAGAACACCCGATGATGACCCCATGCCTTTCCACGGATCAGGACGCGTCGAACGGCCATTCCGTGCACCTCTACCAGTCATACGATTTCCATGCAGGTCTTCCGACGATCGGCTTTCGATGAGCAAACGAGTCACCACAACGAGTCGAAGGACGACAGCTCGTCATGCCAGTCATTCATTCATCCATCCTGCCTTTGTCTCCATTCTTGAACGGCCATGACTCGACGGCAGTGTAAATCTCACGCACTCGTCGCTTACTTGATCTTGTACAATACTTCGACCAGCTCTGCTGCCACGTCAAAGGCGGTCTCGATCCACAGCGACAACAAGTGCTCAACTGTCCCACTCAATTTGCAAGTCGCGACTTCATCATCGATCTGTATAGAACAGAGCTGCAGCGCGATTGCGTTTGGTCGCCGCACATACTTTTTCCATACGACGTGCACCGACTTGGACGCCCGTACGTTCATAGCTGATGCACTGAGCAGCACACGACATATCATTGTGGATCAATACCGTCTCTTCAATTGCAGCAGCGAGTCGTATACACAGACACACGCCGTCCAGGACTCGAGCGACTGCATTCCGTATGCAATTGACACGATTTCTGACGCACGAAACACTGCAGCAGTGGCCACAGCTCATGCTGACGGAGGAGTGACAATGGTCTTCTTTGCTGCAACCAACTGCAGTCAACAGCCACACTCGGCAGCGCTACTAAGCCATGTAGAAGTCGCCGAGCATACGTGCTACCAAGGCAACACCTTCTTCATCAGTGATGACGGTGACGATCCTGCAGTAGTCACCAGCAGCTCCAGTAGCAACGACGTTCCCACTTCAAGTTCCCTCGGTGACAGCGCGATCGCAGATTCATCGTCAAGAACTTCTGTCGACTCGCACTCGGCGACGAGTGGTGACCAGTCCTCTCAAGAAGCACCTTTTGTCAGTGCTCTCGCAATAGCTGTCGTCTTGATCTTTGCGTTCGTGGGTCTCATGGCGAGGAACTGGCGCTCCACGAATCGAAAACTGCAGTTCGTACGACCTCCTGAACCAGACGACAGCGTGGCAATGCTGGAAACCGACGATACGGTTTTCATGTCAAAGCCTATCAACGGGCGAACGTTCTTCCTGCAGAGCAGCAGTAGCAGTTCGTGCTCGACACTTCGGGAACAGGGCCCAAAGACCCGTTCGTTTCTCGTTCCTACTCTTTCGAGCTTGGGGGCGAACTATCAGCGTCTGCGTCGCACTTTCATCGTACCAGCAGCCTCGACGTTTCGACGGACGCTCCTCATGAATCGGCCATGGGACGACGATTTCGTTGTAGCAGCACGTATCCCTCGTGACAAAGTTACTGTAGACCAAGTCCTCAGTCGCGGTGGCTTTGGTGTTGTTTACTCGGGCTCTTACAATGGCCGCCAAGTTGCTGTCAAGATGCTGCTGCCTGACACTCGTCGCAATATCTCACACGTTGTCAATTTGCTGGCAGAAGTCAAGATGATGGCATCCATGGAGCATCCACATATTGTCGAATTCATTGGTGTTGCCTGGGACTCGTTGACCAACATGTGTGTCGTGTCGGAGTTCATGGCTGGAGGTGACTTGAAAGCTTTGCTGAGTGGCTACGACGAGCAGGAGCATCCAATGGGCTTTAGCCGACAAAAGCTCCGAATCGCATTGCACATTGCACACGCACTCATGTACATGCACTCGCTCGATCCTCCAATTATTCACCGTGACCTGAAATCCAAGAATGTGCTGCTAAACGAAAACCTGGACGCCAAACTGACGGACTTTGGCACTTCTCGAGAGCGGGTGAATGAGTCCATGACTGGAGGTGTTGGAACGTGCTTGTGGATGGCTCCCGAAGTGATGCTCGGTGACAGGTATGACGATAAAGCCGACGTGTTCTCCTTCGGTGTCGTACTGTCCGAGCTCGACACACACGCATGTCCGTACTGGCAGGCACGAGACCCGAATGATTCGAGCCGACCGATGCCCGAGCCAGCGATACTGCAAATGGTAGCAACCGGCAAGCTTCGCGTCGAATTCTCGAAACAAGCATGCAACGCTGTCGTCGAGCTGGGCACAGCCTGCGTCTCATTAGACCCCAAATCACGGCCGACAGCATCGGAAGCACTGTATAGACTGCACACGGTCATAGCAGCAGACGACCAAAGCAACGGTAGTGCTGAACTGACAAGCACGTGACTCAATACGAGCACAGCAGCACTCTTGTAAAGTCCACCCCGTCGGCTACTAAAGTGATGTAACCAATTGCGACGACAGTCTGCCATTGAAATGTCGACGAATGTCCTGATTGACGAGGTCCAAAACATGGTTGAAGCCGTGTTTCATCAGGTCAATGACATTCGCGGGCGCAGTTGCACTAGAGCATTTGCGGCGAAAGAAGCGGAGCATCCGCAGAGCCTGATCAAGCGTTCGGTTCTCCACTTCAACCAAAATGCGCGAGTAGATGGCATCAAACGCTGCCAATTGTGTTTTATCGCTCGCAACACGTTGTCCATCATTGCTTTCATCGTCGCACGCTGCAGCACTCGTGAGGCTTTTGGCAAGATTGGCGTACAAATCTTCTATCGATGATAACACGACTGGCTGCGGCGTTTCCTTCACCGCTTGATCGAGATTGGTGGCATCTGGTCGGCTTTTGGGTCGAGGAAGTGGAACTGTCATTGAGTTGTACTTGCGCTTCTTCGCGTATCGATCGACCTCTCTACGAATCGGAAGCGGTAGCGAGTCGTACACTTCCAAGTCAACTTGAGAGATTCGAATGTCATCAAGCGCGTCTCCTTTTCCCGGCTCTCCAATCGCAGTTTGCGCCAGTCGGCGGTTCGATTTGGAATCAAACATGTTTCGCGCTGGGTGCTTCGGTCGCAGTGGCGCTTTGCCGCTTGTCTTCTTCTTTGACGGCTGGCGATTCAGTCGGACAGCAGTCGATGTTGGCGCACCTCGACCGTACGAAGCCAGTATTTCTCGCTGCAATCGATCCGGTAACTCGTCCAGCACCTCCATGTCGATCTGCGAGAACGTCGTGGTAACGTATTCGTTTCCAGCCGTACTACCCTGCTTGTTTGCTTCGCCGTCAACTCGTTCGGTCCCGCTCTGCTCTCGCAATGACGTTGATACCGATTGAAGCTGTGCACGATCATTTAGCCAGGTCTCAAAGAGCTGCCCACTCGCCTGACCAGTGTTCGGGACATTCAAAGCCAGCTTTGAAGCCTGCACTCCAACCCCACGTAGCTCCTTGCTCGGGAAGTCAAACTGCCGAAGCAGCTCAATGCAGACTCTGCCAATCACATCCTCGTCGTCCGTTGCTCGGGCCAGCACATGGCTTTTGGAAAAGTTGTCGCAAACACCGTGACCCATGAACTTCGATGGCTCCACCGGCGCTCCCTCCGCTCGTTTTTTGATCAGCAGCGTGAAACACTTGGCACGCGCTTTCAGATTCCGAAGACGGTGACTCAGCTCTTCGCTCAGCGCTTTCAAGAACACTATCGCGTCTTCCCAAGCTTCGAAACGGATTCCAAAATTCACCACTGCTGACACACTCTTACGCATCATGTTCGACTCCATTGATAACGCGCGGACATCATGTCCTCGGGCGTATCCAAACAGCTTTTCACCGGACGCCTTTCCGAGTAACCGCACCAGGTCGTCTCTCGATTTGGAAACGAGTTGATAAACATCTCTGACACCACTACCTTCGAGCTTCGATTGCATCTTGTATCCGACGCCAGGCAAGTCACCAAGCTCAAGTGACAGCATGAAACGTTCCGCCTGACATCGGTCGCCAATGTGGTAGATTCCGTCCGGTTTTGCCTTTTGTGAGCACAACTTTGCGAGAAGAAGGTTGTACGACACACCTACACTAGCACGACAATGAGTTTGCTCAACAATCTCTCGGCGAATCGTCTTTGCCTTTTCCATGCCACTCGTTCCTTGCTCAAACTCCAGAAATGCTTCGTCACAACTGACCGCCTGTACGTACGGAGTATGAGAGAAGAAAATATCGTAAATCTGAAACGACACGCGCTGGATAGCATCGAACTGGTACGGCAGTACCACCAATTCAGGGCACAGCTCTTTTGCACGCTGCATGAACATTCCTGCCCCCACCCCTTTCGCACGTGCCAAGTAATTGCACGACGAGATTTCGGACGAGCCAGCGTTGCCCGAGTGAGCGACAGCAACAGGCACGTGCTCGAGCTCTGGTCGACCTCTCACTGCCACCGCCACGAAAAAGCAGTCCATGTCCACATGGAGAAGCACACGATCGTCCGACAATGCCGACGCTCTCTTCACATGACCTCCTTTGTACTTGGCCCGAAAGTCACCTGCTTTTTGCTGAAATGTAGCCCGCCACGTACCAATGTGGTGCAATCTCGACTTGGCAAAAAAGTGCCGCACGAACGCAGGTCCATCTCTTGTTGAATTGGTTTTGAGTTTCGCTGATCCAGTCGTGTGATCGTCCATAAGTAGCATCTGGTCATCGCCCTCGTTTTCCAATTCTTCTTCTTCTTCGTCGTCTCGGTCCAAAGCCACATTTGCTGTCGTATCTTCCTTGTCACAACCATCACCTTGCTCAGGTATATCCGTAGCACTTCCCGACGCAGGAGCTGCAGCCCTTGCGCTTCCAGCATGTCGTACCGACTCGACCTCAGATGTAACCGCTACGTCATCGACTTTCAAGAAACTTGGCAGGTAATACGAGTCCGGTGATTGAGCGAATACACTCTGTGTCGGATCGGCAAACCCGTGGTACAAAAATGGCTGCACTGGCAACAGCCTCTTCTGCTCAATACTGCGCACAACCCAATTTGGGTGCACAATAAGCCGGGGACGCCTCGCTTTCCTGCACTCGAAAGCATCCACTGCATTAATACCACTCTACGGGTTATGCTGCTTTTCAACATATTCAGTCACGGACAGTAACAACAACAAACAAAGAGAGGAGCTCACTGAAGTTGCCGTAATTTCGACGCTGGCACGTGAGTGGCTATAATGTGCGTCACGCGACTCGTGTCGTAATGTTCAAACCCGCCGCCGTACAGCAACATAAGCTCGCGAATCTCTTCTTTACTCGGCAGTGTATACCCGTCGACGTATACATGGACACCCGCAAACACCCGCGACGGCTCGGCACTGCGCGACGCCGACACAAAGCGCTCGTTCTGTCCACGCAGCTTTTGCAGCTTATGGGACATGTACACGCCAAAGTCGCCGTCATGGTGCTCACCCACGCGCTTGTCCGTGTCCCCATGTCCGTGGCGTCGCATCGCAGTGCTTACGTGCGCCAAGTGTGGGCCGCGGTCGCTCGGTCCTCGACTTTCATCCAATCAACGAGCGCCGTCGACTCAACCCATCTCGCTTTTCCGCCTCTACGGCACTCGTTCGGCTGTGGCGGCCAGTTATTCACAAGAGTGACATCCCACTGCCCCGTCTGCCCCGTCTGTCACGTGGGCCGTGTCAGTGTGTAGTCCGTCCATCACTTTGGAACTTCGTGGGGACACCAAACGTGTGTAGCCATCTCGACCGACCGACCGACCGACCGACCGCTCGCAATGGCTCCCGCCCCAACCACTTTGAACAGCAGCGACCACGACGTGCTCCTGCTCCAGCCGTCCACGTCGCCTCTCCCGCCCACGGCCGCCCCATCGAAACAACCGCAGCCGCAACAACAGCCGCAGCAGCCACTGGCGACGCTGTCGATGGCGCTGCCCACGCGCCGCCCACTGACCGCCGACGCCGACGGCGAGCCCGCAACGCTCGAGAAGATGGCCGCGGCCGTGACGACGCTGCTCGAGTGCCTGGGCGAAGATCCGCAGCGCGAGGGGCTGCGCAAGACGCCGCTGCGTATGGCCAAAGCGCTGCTGTTCAACACGAAGGGGTACGGCCAGAGCCTGGCGGACGTGCTGAACGAGGCCGTGTTTGAAGAAGACCACGACGAGATGGTCATTGTGCGCGACATTGACCTGTACTCCATGTGCGAGCACCACATGGTGCCGTTCACGGGCAAAGTCCACATTGGCTACATCCCCAATGGCAAAGTCCTGGGACTAAGCAAACTCGCGCGCGTGAGCGAAGTGTTTGCTCGGCGGCTGCAGGTTCAAGAGCGCCTGACGAAGCAGATTGCCACGGCCATTATGGGCGTCATTCAGCCAAAGGGCGTAGCTGTTGTCATTGAAGCGACGCACATGTGTATGGTCATGCGCGGCGTCGAGAAGAGTGGCGCGAGCACGGTCACGAGCTCGGTGCTGGGCGTGTTTAAGAGCGACCCACGGACCAGGAGTGAGTTCATGGCGCTGATCCACAGCAGGCGATAGAAGGAGAGGAGGAGGATGGTGTGGTGTGGTGCTGACGGTGATGGTGATGGTGATGGGTGAAAGAAGCAAACAGAAGGACAGGCGTACATTTGGTGCTCTGACGAGAGACGGCCAGAGAAGCAGAACTCGCGACGGACCATCACATCTGCGTGCACGTCCGTGGCAAAGCAGTGCCGGGAGGCGACTTAGAATACACGTCCTTCGGACAGACGCGTTTTGTTGGTAAAAGCCCTGCTTTTTCTGCCTCGTGGTTGTTGTTGTCGTTGTTGTCGCTGTTGTTGTTGTTGTTGTCGCTGTTGTTGTTGTTGTTGGTTATGAGGAAGGCTGTGCCTGTGTTTGTTTGCGTCGTACTGATAAGGATCATCGGCGCTCGGGGTGAGATGAAGGAATCGACACCTCGATCGCTACGAATGTATGTTCGATGCAGTTGTACGTGAGCAAAGTGTGGCACTGTCGAAACGATATCACGAACAGAATCGATAGAGAACGCATGCAAGTAATGTACAGCTTTGTCTATTGCTGTGCTGCGGTCATCATATCTGTAAGTTGATAGGTAATGTCCGTCTCGGAACTCGTTTATCGATGTTTTCAGGCCTTGTCAGTGTTTGTCTCAGGAATGAGGAGGATCCACGTAATCAAGTGTACATGCCATGTGCTCCTGGTCGTATCCAACTCGCAGCGCAACTTTGCGATCGTCAACTTGGCAGACACGTTTCCTATACTTGGCAAGCTCGTGGTGATTTCTTTGACAAGCTATCGTTCGTGACGTGCCTCGAAGAAAGACCTTTGGCAATGGTCTCCGGTCGTACGATCAAGAGGGGCGAAACACCTGAACTCACGTGCGGTTAAACATGCTTAACTCCGTGACCGATCACATAGCCAACCAACTTGTGCTTGCTGTTGCCATGTAGCCAACGATCGAGACCAACCACCTGAGCTGTGGGATTCCAGTCGCGTGCCCGACTTTGACTTCTATATCATTTCAGCGATGTCGTGACACTAGTGAAGAAGGAAACAAAGCCAATGACGATCTTCATCACGTCGACTCCATCAACACTGAAGCAGCTACTACCGACGTTTGTAAAGTGGTAGCGGAAGCATCAAAGACGCCCATCGTGATTGCCTCTGCTGTCTCACCACACCTTGCAAGAGCTGCACGACCAAGTTCTGGCGCTCTTTGTCCCTGACCGAGTGTCATGCTGTTCATCCACTTGCTGTGTGCAAACTTCGTCTACAACAGTCCCGCGCGGGGCTCTACGATCCTCACCGCATCACAACTTCGACAAACGAATTTGCACGCTGAGCAACACATTGTTGCCACACAATGGCGAACAATGCCCATGTGCCACGACACGAAGTAGAGAGCATGACTCCCGATCCATTCCATACCTAAAAACTTCCAGTCGCCAGGCCCAGTAGGACGAACTACGCTCTATCCACACGCGTACAGTTGTGCCGCCACTGGATCGCACTTATATCGTCGTCCATCAGGCAACGAGCGCTATCGAACCCAAGCGAATTCACGCGACCCAAATTCACGCGAACCATCAACTGGATCACCACCGATCCAGTCCTCACCAGACGGAACTTCAGTCCGAGCTCCACACGACCGACGCCACGTGGTGTGCTGCAGCTTTTTCAGACCCTTTGCACACTGTCTCTTCCCAGACAAACTTATAAGTCCAATTTCTTCGCTAATGTAGACGTCTGTCCAGAGTCCACCGCCCACCAAACATCGACTCAAGATCTTTCCAAGCGTTCTGTAGAGATACGCCACCACTTACGCAGTCGCTTCCCCGCTAGTCCCAGCAACGGCAGCAATACCGAAATACACCCAACTTGGGATCATCAAATACTGCTGCGTCCATTGTATGGACAACGCGTTGGAAAAAAAGCGCAGTCGCGAGACTTACACTTCTTCCGCCAGTATCCGCTGGAGCTTTTGCATGGCTTTCGCTGCAGTTGGTCGCTCCTTTGGATCCAGTGACACACATGCGAGACCCAATTCGACAATTGACTGAGGACTCGCGTCCGAAAACTCCACGCGCAGGATACCAGCAGCCACCATCTGCAAGATCGCTGCGCTTGGGAGTTTTCGCGTCCCGGACGAGTTGTTCGTATCGCTTCGATTCGCAGACGCGTAGGGCAACACGTGCGAGTCGAGTTCGGACAGCACGACGCCAAACGAGAACATGTCGACTTTGTCGTCGTAGCGCTCGCCCATCATGACTTCAGGTGCCATCCAGAACGACGTGCCGACGCCGCCTGTCATAGTCGCGTCAATGCGTTCTCGAGAGATGCCAAAGTCCGTCACCTTGGCGTTCATCGACTCGTCGAGTAGAATGTTCTTCGACTTCAAGTCCCGGTGGATCACGGGCGGCGAGCACGAGTGCAAGTACGTCAGGGCAGTGGCCACATGGAGCGCGATCTTGACCTTCATGTGGTCAAACCCAATTGGATGGTCACGGTTCTCGTACTCGGTGAGCACAGCTTTGAGGTCGCCACCAGACATGTACTCAGAGACCACGCAAATGTCCACGAGCTGGTCCCAAGCAACCCCAATGAACGTCACGATCCGCGGGTGGTCCAGACACGCCATCAACTTGACCTCACAGAGGAACGCATTCACATGTGACATCTCCTTCTTCTTCTCCGGAAGGAGCATCTTGACTGCAACCTGTCGCCCTTGATATCGACCGATGTAGACCTCGCCATAGCCCCCTCGACTCAGGAGCTGTTGAACCATGACATGGTCCCGAGGAACGCGCGCAGCTACAACAATGTCGTCGTCCCAGATCTTCGTATGCCGGTGGTGAGAGCCCAACTCCATGACATTGCTCAGCTTGTCTGGACTCTCGTGTTCCTCGTAGTTGACACTGCTCAAGATATTGAGCTGCGTCGTATTGCGACCAGCGTCTCGCTTCATTTGATGCCGTCGCTGTCTTTGCTTGAACAACAACACGCCAGCAACAAGCAGGACGAGGAGACCACCGGCAAAAATTCCGACGATCGCGAGGCCAGAGATCCCGTGACTGGTATTGGGGACGCTGTGGCTGTGGAAACCCGTGGAAGCCGGCCCTTCGGAGGAACTCGAGTAATAGCGCCTCCCGTTCGAGCACGGGTGGTTGCTGATATCGTTCCGCGAGATCGAGTAGAGCGAGGAAGACGGCAGCGTGCAGTCCTGATCCAGGAAGTACATGAGCGACGCCGTGCCGTCCGTGTAGAGCGTCGCAATGACGCGCTGGCCATTGATGCCAGCGGCTTCGCACTTGCCCTCGGCCGCATACGCTGTGGATTCTACGTACGTCGCACAGTCCGACTCGGCGTACAGCGCAACGTGCAAGTAGGGCTTCGCGTCGAAAAAGTCCTCCGTGTGCTCGTACACGTCGGGTGCACAGCTTCTTTCCAGGTAGTACGTGTTGCTTGCAATCGTAATGGCATCGCACTCGGAGCTCACGCAGGACGCAGTCGACGTGATATGGATCGACACCCCCACCTCGCACGACTCGTCGGCGTAGAGTTCCGACGCCTGCATCGACATTGCTGAACCCGTGCGGTCCCTCGACTCTGCTCGGAATCCTTTTCGAGGAATCTGCTTGTGCACCTTTTCGAGATATCTGCTCGATTTAAGTGAGATATCTATCTACAGGTCGAGTCGGGTGAGATATCTCCTACAGGTCGACTCGACGACTCGACTCGGGGGCTTGAGACTGGAATTCCGGAATGACGAAACTCGAGCGTCCAGCAGGTGACGGACCCCAAAGAGCAGGAGGAGGAGGAGGAGGAGGAAGAAGAAGAAGAAGAGGGGGAGTGGGGAGTGGGGGGAGATAGAGGGAGATTGAGGGGACTGGACGGGCACGTGCATAAACCGAATCGACACTGGCGTAAGGAGGATCAGCTAACGCGACAAGCGCCGTGTGGGTTGCATAGCGGAGACAGCGCTACTCTTCTTCCGATCGCAACGCTCTGCTCGGATTTGACCCGCCCGCGCTTTGCTTCCCGAGAGCGCATTGATCGACACACGGGGCAAGACGTTGGCAGAGCAGTGAGGCGAGACGACGATAGACTCGTTGCACTTCTGTGCTCGAAGACGACCGCCTGGTCGCTAAGACGGCTCTTTTCCTCGCGCTGGACAAACGTATCGGCAAACGAGTCGCGTGGGGCGTTCCGCTTCGTCCGTCCACACGCGTTGCAACACGTGACAACGCAACCAATTGCAACGCCTACACGTGTCGAGTCGAGACAACCTGCACGGAAGCGCTGTCGCCGTCAATCGGACGGTGAACGCTCCCGAGTTGTCTTCTGCGCTCGAAGAAACGGTGTGCACGGCGTCGAGATTAGCACGCACTGGTCTGGCTGGCCGGCTTGCAGGCGCTGGAACGAAGACATGTCGGGGCTGTATCGCGGCCGAAGGGCGCGCCCATCTTGATCTGGTGTCCAGGTCCGTTTACGGCAGGCAGTCTCGTCGTCGTCGTCGGGGTCGGGTGCCCGCCGTGCAGTTGTAGTCGCGAGACGCGGCGGTGCGACCTGGTCCGTCCTCTTCTTCGCGCTCGATTGCTCGGTCGCGCAAGGCCATGGGACTAATCGCATGCGGTCCGCTTGGTCGTCGGCAGAGCGAACACACGAGTGCAGCTCCGTTTGTAGAGTGGTCACGTGAACCGATCGCCACATGGACTCTCGACGCGGGCCAAAGAGCTCACGAGGGGTCGTCTCTGCTTGTGTCGAGAGTGGGCTGCTGACATGTCCAACAGCTCTTGCGACACACACTCACTCACTCACTCACAGGTCGACGAGTAGACACCGAATCGCAGACGACCTGAACGATGTGGGCCGATGAGGACGACGTGGATTGGCGTCGGATGTCACACGTTCTTTGTCAATTGTCAAGCAGTGAACGTGACCATTAGCACCTGTTCTCGACTCGACTTCCGCGTACGCTAATGACAGTTCGTCGATTGCAGTCGACAGTACACGCAACTCGCACTTTGTCAATTGAATCGACAGGACACATTCGTCGAGCGATCCGACTGAAGTCTGTGGTGGTCCTCAAGACGCGTCTCGGTAAGTATCTGCTACAGGGAAGGCAGACTTGCTTGGCGCGTGCGCTTGAGAAGCATCAGGACGCTGAGCAGCAGCAGTGTACCACGCGCTGGCTCCAAGTAGAGAGCGCAGTACTACGCTGGGCACCCATGAACGAAGGGGTACTACACGTCCGAGTGAACATGGCCAACTAGCGACACGCGCTTTTAATATGTTGCAGGCGCGTCTTACAGACTATGAGGTCCAGTCACGAGACGCGCGAGTCCTGCTTTGCCGCGCATGGGCGATCGATACGTCGACTGTTGATCTCAAGCAATACCAAGTGGTGTGTGGTCGCTGTGCTGGACTGCAAGACCGTTGTTGTGCTTTTCAGCGGACAATGGCGGCCTCAATGGCGTGGGCCTTAGCGAGAGGACAGTCGATTGCACTGCACGTCTGTACGTTTGCGACGTCGAAGCACTTGACACAAAGGGGTCTAACGAAAGCTGCTGCGCAAAGTATATCGCTCAACATGCCGAACACATGTGGCCCACCGAAGCAGTGACGAGCGCATGACGAAAGTCATCGCGCATCGAATGGCAGCACGTCCAGCACAATCCAATCCAACTCGTCTCTCTCGGTTCTTTTTCGGCCGTGCTGACGAAGCACATGAGGGCGTTCGAGATTTTGGATCTGCGACCATTGCATCCTTGAAGATGGATCAGAAGTGCGACCACCGATCAGACCAGCGAAGGCGAGGAGCCGGTGAAATGCCGCGTCTGTGGCAGCACCTCAGGTGGTGATGACGGCTGGCAGCTGTTCCTCGTGCAACAGTGGACACAGAGCGAGAGAGTCCTCGTGAGCACGCGACATTCGAGCAGGAAGCCATGATACGAGCCACCAGAGCGTGTGAAAGCTCGACGCCTATCGGGGAACTATGATGGCCGACATGTTGTTGATCATGCGTCCAAGTTCAGTGGCCAACTGACTGTGTCGGCGGTCCTGAAGGTGCCGTGGACGTCGTGAAGCATATTGAGGTCGTCAAGAGGAGTGGAACGACGATGTGGATATGCAAAGGTCGTGACTGGATGTTTCAGGATTCCTTTGGTGATACGCCGACCCATGTGAGCCCTTAGGAACCACACCGAAGGGGAGGAGGAGTTTCATGATCATCTATTGACATATTTAATGTGGACAAGAGGTCTGAAAAATCCTGAGCCAGGATATGAGCGCCGGTCGCGGCAGCGGATCGTGGCTGACACCCGCGTAGGGCGGGTGTCCACGGGGCTCTTGAATCAGAAGTTCAAGACAGGCATGAAGTCGGGCCCCTCGTACGGCCGTAGCCGCGGCTCGATGCTCGCGTATTGCAATTGCCCGTAGCTGGCGAACACCGCGTGTCCAGTACATTTGGACACTTGCGGATGGAGTAGTCACGGCTCCTCTAAAGACCGCCGAGTTCCGCTCGGTCCACAAATGTTCTTGGCAGATGGAGCTTAATATGAACCAGATCCGTTCGAATTCTGTTGCTGCGGCGTCAGAGTCATCTTGAAAACGGCTTTGCAACCGCAAACTCAGCTGACGTGGAATGGGCGGGGCTGTGCGATTGGCGCAGTGCTGAAAGAAGGTGGAAAGAACTGCGTTCGTCGCACCCCCACCGGTCCAGTGTCCTATCAAGTGACACCAACACGCTTGCGCGATTGGGCACTCCCAGAAAATGTGCGCCGCTGTCTCTTTGCGTCCTCGGCAGTGCAGCACCGTACGACAACTGTTGTCCAGCGTGCGACCGGCATGGTATAGATTTAGCTGCTTTGTCGCGATACGATAGCATGTCCAGACTTGATACTCCGTTAGCCCGTTTGCGTGTTTCCAAACTTGGGAAGGCGTTTGATTTGATGCAGCTGACTGCCAACTATTCGATACCGCCTGCGCGTCATAGGCCTTCAACCAGGACTGGAGGCCAGGGTGCAGAAGGCGTTTATGAACGTGAAACGCTTGCTTCATAAGCGTTGTCCACACATCTACATTGGCCACCGTCTCTGGCACACTCCAAGGGAAACGGTGAAGCTCCGGGTGGGCATGAAACACCAAGGTACGATGGTGCGAATGCTCCCAGTAGTTAGACACTTGCTGAGGCGACCCCCGTAATTCTGGTAAATTCCCGTCAATCGACCAATGGATTCCATTGACATCTTGGCGGAGGCGAATCGCCGAGTTCGCGGACTCGACAGGGTCCCGACAGGACCCGACAATTAAATCAGCTCGCACCCGGGACCATTTATAAGCGCGCCGAAACGGCGGTGGATGACGTAAGACGAGCCCGGGCTCTACCGGTCCCGCACCGACAGCAAGGTGGGGGTGACGAGAGCAGGATCGAAGTCGCCCAACGTTGTAATTTACAATGCATATGCCGAGACGAAGTACCGCCGAGAGACGGGAACGTAAATTGAAATTCATGTGACCCCAGTCGCCGAATGCACAGACTGCGCAGTGAACATGGAGGTATCCGGGCATATTTGGCCCGCTCTAGGGGCTTGCCGTCTGGCCCTTGAATCCAAGGATTGCCATCCCAGTGAAAGCGGCCCCAGAAAGCGGCTAATGTATCCATCCGGTGATCAGCAACAGCGGGATGGTCAGGAAACGTTTGATGGTATGAAATTAACCATTCGTCACCATCCCACTGACTGCTCGCCCCGACAGACATACGAGCGTGATGCGCGTCCAATCTGGCCCGAATCGACAGCACTTGTTCAGGGGAGGGTGCTAGGAGCCGTTCGAGATCCTGCGCCAGAGAGGAACGACCAGGTCCTCGCCTGATGTCAAACGTTGTTGAAGCAGACGGATGGAGCGCCGGGACGAGAGCCGATGTGGAACCTCCCACGCTATATGTCCAGCGCCGCCACGCTGTAAAATATTTGTCATGCGGCTGCGTTAGCCAACGCAACGCGTGCTTCGTCCGCTGAGTTTTGACGGCTACTTCGAACGAGGCCAGACCAACCCCGCCTGCCTTCTGGGGCGTAAAGAGGAGACCCGGGTTAATTTTGTGCCGACGTACGGCAGGCACAGAAGCGTGCGCCCACAGGAATTGGCGGTACAGCCGAGATATCCACACCGAAGGGGTGTCCGTGCATGTTTGTTTCTTCAGCTTTGTCGAGAGAGAGAGAGAGAGAGAGAGGCACTTTTTCGATTCGTCGGGGATGGGAGGAGGCAGAAGATGACAAACGGAAGAGATTGTCGAGCAGGACTGTGGGATGAGGTGTCATCTGCCTTAGATGACCGTCTACAGGACTGTGGGCCTGGGGGGGATTTTTGACGTTTGCGTTTTTCGAGTATCTGGGAGGATGCTATAGCCCACCATCACCTCAAAAGAGTAGAACATACATAGCGCATGGCATGACATGGTGGTATGAAACGGCTCAGGACAACGTGGGTATTGAACGAATGGTAATGTTATTGTTATTGTAGCGAGGAAGTCATGCGCGCTCTATCCAGCGTTTTTCCAAGATCGTTCGTTGTTGAGTCACACACTGCTTTGGTGATAGCGATGTCAGAGTACGCCAAGATCCAACGACGCTTCGAAGGTCACTCGCCTGTATGGTTGAGGTCATAAGTGCTGCGTCTGGGGTCGGCATTGTCTCGAGACAATGGGCCTCCGCCCTGCTACTAGTTGTCGATAAGGCACTTGTATGGCGCGATCTTTCGCATTCGTCTGCATGCCTCTTTCTATGTATCTCATGTTGGTCCGTTTAGGGCTACAACAACTTTGTCGAGCAGCTGTTTAGTACCGAGCTGGTAACAGGATACTCATGCGCCATCGATCATCAGACTTGAAACAAGTTGCAGGAACCAGTCCGGTAGCGGGGTCAAATACGACAAGCGATTGTTGTCTGTCACGGAACGAATGAGTCAAAAGTTGAGTGTACCGCAGCATGCATTGTCCAGACAGGAGAGCGCGAAACGACGAGTTCTTGCAGACCGACCATCGTGCTGTGATAGGTACTCGCTACTTTATCGTGTGCGTGCAAGTCTTCCGTGTCGTCATGTACAATCCACGTCTCAATCGGATGTACGTAGCCCGACAAGGCTCATGTCAGGAGTACTTTGGACGCGGTTAGGAAGACGTAACCTAAGTCCGACGTGAAACGCGCAGTGGGGGAATGCCAGCGAGGCACCATCGCAACGCACATCGTGCGTGCAGGAATGTTTGGTCACAACGTGTGGGCCCCACAAGTAAAGATGAGGCAAGAGGGACTGGACGCGATGAGTTTCGCAAACTTTGCAAAGCCCGGACATACCTTGCAGCCGACCTGGCTCGCGCGTCGTGAGGGCCTTCAAACCATCCGTGCAATTTGACCTGATCTCCGTGCTTGAACACTTTAGCTTTTGCGACATCGAAGCTGAAGTAAGGAACTCTATGTCCACCGCTGTTTTGATTCTGCACAAGCATAAAAGGTGGCTGGCTACAAGCCAAAGCGCTTGGTCTTTTCTTGCTGTCGCTTTTGCATTAGGATGCAGTTTCCATTTGCGTTTCGGCGTTAGCTTTACGGTGATCGAGTGCGCTTGGCAGCTTATTAGCGGCAGCATGTGAACAAAGGGTGACCTCGTCATCATTCTTCTTGCATTGCTCGCCAGGCTCCCACTGCATTCCGGGCTTTGTCTGCTTTGCATCGCGCCACAGTGTTTGCAACAACATTGCTCGGACAAAACGGGACATGTTCGAGCGAACGATGATGGAGTGTGCACTTGCCTGCTAGGCTGTGTGTCGAAGGCATTGACCCAACGGGCGAAGTGCCGGCAGGCGATGATGGACTTGCGTGCGGTAAGTACACGCATGCGATAAGGAGTGACAGAGCTTGTCGCGTTTCAGCGAACGGACAAGCGCATGGCCTTGTGTGAGTTTGGGACTATGCTCTCGCCTCAATACGCTGCAACTTACAGTCTATCAAGCGACCAGGACAACGAACTGTAGCATGTTGACAGTCCATGTCGTAGATAGCATGCATTCCTCTCATATGAGTGAAGTTCGCTTCGACACGTCTCGATCGTGCTTTGTCACTCTAGCTTCGCATCATCACCTGTAGCTTATCTTCGACACATGACCCTGCGTGGGACGATAAGAGAGAACGCATGGCAACGTACCTCTGTGGCTTGCTTGCCAAAATATCCCAATGAGCGATTTTCCTTGTGTTCTCTCGCCCTCTCGCCATTAGTGCTCTCGAGGAACATGTCTGCGCAAAAGAGTCCGAGCATTGCGGGCCAGTGTCCAGTGCTACCGTCATTAGTGTGCCGAACGTAGTGACGTCGGTCGAGGACGGCGAAACCTCTTCACAAATTAGTCGCGACACAGGAACTCTACTCGCGCACGAGATCAAGGAGTCTCTCATACACTTTACAGCTCATCTTGCAAAAGCGTGAAAGACCGAGTCACCTACGTATATGCTCAATGTACTTGCCTTTGCCTTCATCACTTCCAGTGCACAGTGCATATGAACGTTCGGCAACTTCTGCCCACCATAACCAGTGCCGAACCAGCCGAATGGCCGAGTACGAGCGTAGAGACGACTACGTGTGCGTCCCGACCGAGAAGATCACATTCGTATGCCACTTCCATTCGCACGCAAACAAATGGAGTGTGATTGCGTGTGACGACGCACAGCGCCGGCAACAGTATCAACCGGATGTGGCGACTTGTGCCAACGATCGTAGCTCATCAAGTGCGGCTTTCGACGCTCGATTGTAGTACGCGCACCGCAATGATGACACCCGTTGCTGGCGTCCTGCGCGAGTCACTATCGACTCCACGGACCTCATGATCCGTCACAGTCGTTCACTACTTCGAAAGTTGTCGGTCGATTGTCTTGCAGTTGAGGCTGTCAACATCTGCATGTGTCCTGAGGTGAATGCGGTCGATGCGACGACACCTGATCCTATGGAGTCCCCTCAAGTTCAGCGACAATATCCACTACACGATCGATCGCCCAACCAGACCTTTGTACGCGAGTGTCCCTGTCGCCACGCCAGGGCGGCCCCTTCGCAGAGTCGATCTTGCACACAGACCCCGCCACTTCTCGGTATCAACTACGATGCCAAACATCCAGCCGAGTACATTGCTACCCGTACTCCAAGAGCTAAAGTTTTGCGAAAACACCGAGGACGACGTCACTGCTTTCCTCCGTTCTAGTTGCGCTCCTGAGTAGGAACAGCCGGTGCTATGCATTGTTGCCTTCCAGCAAACTTGCTCGCTTGGCAAATATGCCGCCCCAACCGAGTCCTCAATGGAAGGGCACCCTTTGACAAGTAAGTGCCTTCTGCTGCCCCTGTGTTTGTCCAGTCCGCGCGACGTCCCGATCTAGGCCTACCTCAAAGAACAACAACGATCTGGAGCAACGCATTCGCACCAAAGGGGTTCGTCCTGCGGTGAGAAAAGGTGGCTGCGTAGACTCGTCGAGCGAATTACCACTCAACAATATGAACGCGCCCGGCGCTTTGCCGTGACTGCCCGTCCCTGCTTCAAGCACTGGTGTCCACGACCTGTCGAAGCAGAGGGGTGACGACCATCCAGCCCTTCGAGGACCATCCATAGTCTTGAGACAAACTGGCTTCGAGCGCGAGAAAAGAGCATACCTGCCGTCGTGTTTCTACGCCTACCGCCGGTACGCGCGAGGAGAACGCGCGTAGAAACAGTCGATCGAGTCAGGAGGAGGAAAGTTTGCTCGAGCGACTTGGGTTTGATGGCCATAGCCGGAAGCGGCTCTGCCCGGCGACTTGGCTTGTTGTTATCAGATCGAATTGCTGCGGTGGACTCGACGCGTGCGACTACTTCCCGCGCGAGCGGATGATCCGGTGTCAAGCGGTTATCAGACGAGCGAAAAATTCTGTTTCGAGCCAGCGCCATTAGCCAGTGGCAGTCTTTTTCTTGTCAGCAGCGCTAGTAATCTGCCGGCTGCTACGTCGGGCGCACATCTACTCGGGGGAGTGGTAGGCGTCTTCGCAGTGTGAGAGAGAGAGAGAAAGGCGTGGCGAGAGCATGTGCTCAAGGACTTGACACCCATTATGTGGCTGTCAGTTCCTCGACCGCAGACCTCATGCTCTGTCGGTTGTGCTCATTGTGCTGCAAAGGGTACTTCCTGCACCTCAATCGAAAGCGAGATCAGGAGTGGCGCTATTGATCAGGACGTGCGTCGGCACGTCCTGAGCGACTTCTCTTATGAACGACGTCCTGTCGTTAATCAATTAGTGCATATAGATATGCCACGAGTCAAGTTCTTTAGCGCTACGAACTGGCGATTGCGGCCACCTCGTACAGTAGCTTCGCACTTGCATCGTATTCCCAACTTGCTTTCCATCGACTGATGTCCTCCTTTTGCTTGTCGATCGTTCGAGTGCCACCGAGACAGCTTCGCACGCGTCCATCCAAAGCTGCAATCCCCAACCGGACATACACGCAAGCACTTGTCGATTCCCAGTACGCTGCGTGTTCCACAATGCACGTGCGTCGTCGTAGCCGTTGAACAACATCGACCCCCGCGACTGCCAGGGGGCGAGAAATCCATCGATCGCCCCCTTCGACTTTCGACCTCGCCGTCCTTCGTTGCAAATCCGCTCGCGCACCGGGAAGCACCAGCTGAAAGCTCTTGCCCATCGCACAACCCGTGACAAGAGATCCCGCGCGGTCGGAAAGCAGATGCGGGACTTGTGTTTCTACTTACTGCCAGTCAGCTCCGACGGGTTTCAAATACTTTCCAATCCCGGCTCTCGCGCTTGGTCGGTGCGCGAGGTTTCTAGGATAGACAAACGACGGGGTGACACTCGCCCATCCCCCCGGTCTCTTGCTCTTGCATGAGCGCACGACCGAGTCCGTGGCCGGCGTCGGCCTCGTGCCATCCGTTTTTGGTTTTTTAAAACGCGCAGCACGCCAATCAACACGGCCGATACATCACAACTAGACACACCACACAGCCGCCAAAGCCGCTGCCGCCGCCGCCGCCAAAAAGACGTCTGCCGTCTGTTTTGCACACGCTGTCGGCGGCTATCGGTCGCCCACTTTTCAAATCGCGACAGGCAGACGGCGTGCCGGCCGCCACTTGTCAAATGGCGTCCACGGACGCCGCGTTCCTCACAGAGGTCGAGTCGTTCCTGAACTTACTGGAGCTCCCACCTCCGTCGCCCGTTGCCGCCCACTGTCGCCCCGCAGCCATCGAACGCGGCCCTATCGCCGCCGCTGCCCACCGCCACCGCACCACCAACAGCAATAACAATAGCAATGCCACCCACACCCACACCCACAACAGTACTTCCACTCGCAACGCACCGCGTGAATCGGCAAAGTCCGTCGTGACGTCCACACCCGACGCGTCGCCCCTTGCAGCGTCCACAGACAATGCGACAGTCACTTTGCGGCGCCTCAAAGAGCGCACGCGGCGCCAGTCGTACCGCGAGCGACAGCTCCTCGAGCGCGCGCAGATGAGCCGCGAGATCGCGCGCCTCACGGCAGAGGTCCACCGCGTGCGCACGCGCCAGCAGTTGGTGCGCGCGTGGAAAGCGCTGGCGCAGCGCCAGTTGAGCGCGCGGCAGACGGTCGAAGCTGAGCAGCAGCGGCTGTGCCGCGCCGTGTTGGCGCAGGCGCAACTCCTGTCGCATGTCCAGAGCTTCTTGCAGCCGCCCAGTGGGCCGCCGGTCGCCGACGCCACTGGCGCCGCGTGTTTCCACCAGACGCGCGTGCGGCTGTCGTTCGTGAACGCCGACGTGTTCCGCACGTTTCTGCGGGAACTCGACGACGCGTACGCGATGACGGACACTGTGCTGCAGACGTGGGGCCTCGCGTCGACGGCCGCGAACTGGGACGCCCCGAGCGAAGTGTCGGACAAAGAGGCGGCGTTTCGGTTCAAGAGTAAGCTCACGATGCCGTTCAGCTTTGACGCCATCTGCCGCTCGCGGTGGCTCGTCTCGCGCTTTGGCCACCGCCAAGACGCGCGCGAGCTGCACAAGACGGGCGGCGTCGACCCAGAGAACACGCTGGCCGTCAAGTTCCGAGTGAAGACGCGGCTGCACTCGGGGACGGTGGCCACGGCCGTGCAGCGCCTGATCATTCGGCGGTACGTCGAGGCCGAGCGCATGGTCATTGTCTGGCGGCTCTTCACCGAAGGCGAGGGCGTGTTCACGGGCCTGAGCTCGGACGAAGCCGGGTGGTGCGTGGCCACGCCGGTTCGGAGCGCAGCGCGCGAGGGCACGGTGATCCGCACGTGCGTCAACAACAAGGCCATGCCCACTGGCGACGACGTTGCAGCGGAGCCCGTGGTCACCAAGTTTCGGAACCAGCTGCTCGAGTGGGGCTTGGAAAACAACGAGGAAGTCACGACGGGGCTCCAGAAGACGATTGTCCGATGAAACGGGGGGCATGGGGGGTGGCGTGGGGGGGGGTAGGAGGCACCACGACCCATCATGCCTGTGAGTTATAATACATCGTCGTCGTCCTGTTTTGCTGGCGCATGTGGAGCTCGCGTGTGTCCTCGTGGTTACTCGATTTACCTGCGTAACACGACGTCGATGCTGCGTGCGAGACGCACTACGGTATGGCACATACCGATGGGTAGGATGGACCTTATGTAGCAGCGTCAGCACTGTCCTTGGGGGCGGTGTCTGCATTCCCAAGACGATCGCGCGCCCGTGCGCGCATCGGATACCTCAAGTTGTAGGCACTGCTCTTCACGCTGGCTACTCATCGAGTGGGTCGTGCCAGTGAGTTTACTCGCTACGACGCGAGGAGGGACCGAAGTGCAAACGATTTGTACGTAAGCTGTGGGGTGACTGACGCTGCCTCATCGTGTGCACCAGTTCTGTAGGAATTTGTGATGGCTGAGTAGCTTCAGGTGTCGATATCGCATGAGAGAGAGACTGACTGAGTGAGGGCCATGGCAAGACGTATGATCGCATCTGCAGAATGGCAGCCAAGTGAATGCTGCAATGCAGGGGCTCTACCACTTGGTCGACACAATCGCATCGCTGTGCCTGTGATGGACGACAGAGACCGAGTCGCTACTTGGACTGTTTGATCGAGTTCAAAATCCTAGAGGTTGCCATAGCTAATGTAGCAGCGTTCCAGGTCTCGTGGATTGCGTAGAGCGGTACGAAGACGCTCTACGGTTGCAACGACCGAGTCACTTGTGCATCCCACTCGACGGGTTTCTGCACCCACATGAGGCAATTGTCCTATAACTTCCAGCGTTTAGCTGTGCGTCGAACAAGGAGTGTCGAGACTTCAATTGCCATATCGTCGTGCGAAACTATGAAATAGACGTAAGATCCGCTCTCCTCTGTCTCGGTATAACACGTGCGTCAACTTTCGTGCAAATGCCAATGTTGTCCGACCGACAGCGCCTGTAGCGCGTCAGAAGGAAGAAAAGAACGTGTACTTTGATAAACAAACAGCGGCCGGATTCCTCATGCAGCCGTTCAGTGGGCAAGACGACGACGTCCTGTTGACCAGCCTCTTTCGTCCACCACGTGCTTTCGAAACATAGCGCTGCCTTTGTCGGACTCGAGCAACGCCCAACCTGCTGCCAAACCAACTCGGGCATATCCTCTTAAAAATAGACCAACCCACCTCGAAATAGAACGCACGTCAGCGCTCGAAAAACCTGCAAAAAAAACGTCGTCTCAAATCAGCGACAACCCAAACACCGGTGATGAGGTTGGGTTGGACGTGGTACAGCGTACCGACTTGTTGGTACCCCAATACGAAACGAAACCCATGCGCAATCGTTTCGTCTCCTTTACCGACAGTCGCAGAATGGAGAGCTTCGTGAGCGAGCGAGGAGCAGACGAGCGGCCCAACGCGACTTCCAATACGCAGCAGCCGCTACCGCCACCACAGCAGACCCACATCTTTGCTCGCTTTCCACACGTCCGCGAATTCTTCTGCGGCGGCACCGCAGCTGCGATCAACATTGTCATCACGTTCCCTCCGAATAAAGTCATGTTTCGACAGCAGGTACATGGTACCCTTTGTTGCCTCCACTGGCGCCGCCACTTGTTTAAAACATGCATTTGGGCAAGTGGGTCGCCCAATCGGCTGTGCCTGTGTTTGTACCCACTGCCGACAAAGTGGTTTATCCGTTATTTTGTGCCTTTTCACGCGACATTGTGGGTGAGGATTGACGACGGTCTGACCTTCTCTGCGTATGCCATGATGACAGCTATTTGGCCTCAATACATGGCACGCTTTCGAAAACGTGCGGAGCGAAGGGTGGCAAATGTTGTACCGCGGCGTGAAGCCCCCGCTCGTGCAAGCTATGGTGTCCAAGTCCATTATGTTTGGACTGTACAATTTCTACGACGACATGCTGGTCCAGAGCTTTGGAGAACGGCCAGGACTCAATCTCTTTGCAGCAGCAATGGCAGGCACGTCTGAAGCTGTGCTGGCCCCTTTCGAGGTACGGCTCCGGACCAGCTAAGGTCATGCACGACCGTGTTTTTCGTCGACCTCATGAGACCTTATGTTTGCTGCTGTCGTGGGTATCGCTGTCTCGTTTCTGTAGAGAGCCCAGACGCTGCTCCAGACGCCCAAGTTTAATCAAGAAATCGCAGGCGCGTACGACGCGATGGTCCACATTAACAAATACGGCCTGAAAGAGCACTACCGAGGCCTTTCGGCTATATTGTGTCGGAATGGACCGGGAAATATCTTGTTTTTCGGACTGCGTGAACCGCTGCGTCAGGCGTTTCCGAGAGGTGACACGACGGCCGCGACGATGACGAACGACTTTATCTGCGGCGCCACGTTGGGCGCTATCATCAGTACCTTTACATTTCCCATCAACGGTCAGTGGTTCTAGTGTGCTTGTGGCTGAATCGGGCTGAGTTTGCTGATGTTGCTGTTGTTTTTTGGTTCTCTGCAGTGGCTCGGACACGTATGCAGAGTGTGTACGGGCAACCGTTTATCGGTCCATGGGAGGCACTGCAGCTTACCTACCGAGAGCGTGGCTGTAGTGTGAGGAAGTTGTACCGTGGTGTGCAGATGAACTTTTTTCGCTCGCTGCTGTCGTGGGGTATTATCAACTCCACTTACGAGAAATTGAAATCGATAACATGAGCCTCTGATCATTTTGCCACAGACTGCTTAGCGACTAAATTTTCGTATAACGGGCATAAGCTTCTTACGGGCACAAACAACTGATCGCGTCAAGAAGATTGTATTCATCGCGAACCGTTATCGAGTCGTATGCAGACAACATTTGACAAAAGTTCTTGTCGCGTTCGGCATCTCGCTTGCAGCTCTACACAGCTCGCATCAACCCTTATTTGTCCAGACTTCCACACTTTTTCAATACCTACAAAACGGCCACTGTCTGTGTATAAAGTAGCAGTGGCCGTACTTGTCTTGGTACTACATTGCGTGTCTTCGCCTGTTCGATGGACTTACTTACGTAACGTCGCTATGACCGAGTGTACAGCCGCAGAGGTGAAAGACTAGAGCACGCTATGTGTATCTACTAGTCACCTTCCGATTCAAAACGTCGTGTCAGCTGTTGGGTATCACTTACCGAAGTGTAGTCATTTAGTCCCATACATGTACTCGCTCATGATGCATTACTCGCACAACTTGGCAGATCTTCTTTCATGCAAAGACGTGACCACACGTCGCACCATTTGCGGTGACTTTCGCCACAGGACTACGATTAGGTGTCATCGATTGCGAAGTAGGATGGTTACACATAACAATGGGCTAGTCCCTTTTACAAGGAAGAAGGTAATTGTGTGATGGCAACATTGTCGCCATTTTTTCGTCGTCTGGATGTCATGACAAACGAACCATGAAAAGTCGTGCAAACCCCTCGTGCAAACTTACTCTAGCTGGACATAGTGTTCATTTTCGTGACTCTCGATATAATGATCCTCTGTGTATCATTCTTGCTATGGTTCACAACTGCACCAACGTCTTGGCTGACGATGTGTCCATACTGCATGAAACGACTTGATTTCGAAGTCGCTAATCCATCACTGTTCCATGAGAGATGCACGACCGACATCATTCTTGCTCGACATGCCAAGTATATATTGATTATCCATATGCGCTGCAATGGCTCGTAGTCTTCCGACCAAGACAACATTGCCTTCGGACACTAGCATACCACACTATGTCAAGAGTGAGAGCCATCTCGGATCCCTTCACCTTCGTACACCACTGTTGCTTACATTCTCCGCTGACATCCGTGGCGCTCGTGTCATGACGTTTACTCGTCTTCACGGCTTATCAATGACAGCTGCATATGAACCTCTCGGATCAGCGAGGGGGGGTGTCGAAACGAGCTCGTCGCCATATCTTTTCTATATGGGAATAGTGAGTCACAACCAAAGGCTCCGCGCTTATCGACGTATCATATCATTGATGCACCTAAATTAATCCAACCTTCCTTCACGTATCGAAAAACTTTGCCTTGAGGTCGCACATTTCCAGATTACTGTGATCTTATGATTCAACACTTGATTGCCTTCCGACGACCCCGACAGTCGATAGAATATTCATTGGACCACACGACAGAAAAAAGGAACACTATAGCGGTGTGAGACCTTTTCGGCCCACAGACAAACACTGATGAATCAGAATAGTTGTCTTTCGTTGTAGTTGTACACAAAAACTCTTAATCATTTGCATCTACGACCGTATCCTACAGTACCCGGGCAACGCGCTCACACGTCATTTAATTTGCAAACGAGGATTCTGAAGTTAGACAGCTTCAATGGTTTGGATTTGGCGATCGGTGTATCTACACAACACGGCGATGAAGATACACTCGAGTTATTATACCTTCTGGGTATTTTTAGCTACGACCAAGTGTGTAGCAGCATACTCGTGATGCAAAAAGTGCTGTCTCGTTGTTGTGCTTCCGATCACTAGCTCAAACATAGAGAACAAGGGTGTCTCTTTGCAATCTCTGATGAAGGGCATGCAATCGAAAAGCATTATCAGCTCAATGGTGTCAGATGCTTGATCATAGCTTACGCTGACCTATTCCTCAAGCACATGACACCATTAATGTTCCCCTCGCCTTCTTAAAGCGACTGACGTACAAATTGCAAACCTGAATACAACACTATCCTTTGGTCGTCATGATACTTTATTGGTACATTGGTACGTTGATCTTGATTGCCGGTGGCACGGCTATCCACGCCCTCTTTGCCTTCTTTTTTATTCTAAAATCGATGATGACGTCACGCACTACATTATGTGACCCATGAGAAACAGCTCTTGACAATCGGTGTTCGTCCATTTTTGGTCGTCGAGCGTCGCATTGTGTCTCGCCACCATTTGTCCACCGTCTTGTAATAACGCGAGTATCACGGCGCGTGTACATATAGCTGTACTCATTTGTCTTTTTAGTGGCCTCTGATGCCCATCAAGCTCTTTGCTCTCTGCATTTGACACTGATAGTACCATCCATGTCGTTATTGAGGTCTTGTCGCCCTTGACCTGATCGCGCTGCTGTCCAGATTTCCGGCATTCTCCTTCCTGTGACCTGATTGCTCGTCTAGGTACATCACTAGTCCCACCTCAACCAACTATCCTAGTAAGCGCCATCTGCTTCCGCTTCGTTTCGTAACTCGTTACTCATGAACGTCCAATCGAGTATGTAGGATCATCTACAGCTCTCGTTGGGATAGCCTTACTGTAATCATAGGTCCAGGTAATCTTTATCGTGCATCGATGGAGCATGACTTGCAACTCATCGTAGACGGAAGATGCAGTGGACCCGGGTAGAACTTCGTCTAGGCGACGATTACGATGAAGGTACGAGCTGGATCAGAATGCCATAAGCATGACCAGGCATCATTATGACGATCATTTGTACAAACATCGGGCTTTTAGCATGTGGAAGGTTTGTACCACTTGGTCGGCGACCAAAATTCTAGGGAATGCTAGTGTCAGGGTTTCGATTCGATAAGATCGGTCACTGTCTTTAACAAAATTCAAGCGCTACTGTGTATCACTCTCTTTATCAAAAAATAAGCTTTACTTTGTATCAAGAACACTTTAGAAGTTTTAGGTACTACCTTGTCGAAGAATGGCCAGGAGGTGAGGATGTGAATTCGAGAAAACACGTCAATGTCAAGCCCTTACTGTGCGACTCGTCCGCTTATTCAGAGCTTGAAGGCCCCTCCACAGATACAACTGTTTTCTAACGGTATATCGTGTCATAAGGCTACGTGCTCCTTGTACGAAGTTCATGTTCAGCCTCAGTTTCTCACATGCACGACGAAAAGATGTCCAGCGGAGAAAATGTTGCTCCATTGTGGGTGAGTTCCAACCAAATGGTATGGTCATTATCACAATCATTATCATCTGACTACGTTATGCTTCATTTTGTGCTTAGGCATTGGAGACCTCACGCGCGGGCGGCAAGACTGGATCGATTCTTTCAAGTTTGTCGTGTGAGAGTAATACTGCAATTACCAATATATTTGCTCTGTAATGCATCAATTCCTGCAAAACTCTGCTACTCGTCTGAAGGAAGGTGCTTCTCTGTCATTTAGTTCAATTGCCTCAAAAACGAATCAGGAGGTGTAGTTTCAGCAAAAACCAAATTGGGCATGCTACTGCATGCTTCTATTTTTAGATTCCAAAGCGTTCGCTTCTGCTAATATTCTAAACAAGGCAACGTGACAGTGACGCAAGCTCAAGTGCGACTTTTGTCGAATTGTCATCCGTCCGACATATATCGTAATAAAGGACTTGCGCTACAACTCTTTATTCGCTAGTTAACACCGTAACGAGTATCGTGTTATGCGACTTGAGCCAAATGAAAATCGGTTCCACATACTCGGTACAGAAAACACCAGCATAACAACGTTCGGCTTCACTGCCCATCTTCAGATATGTAGTGCCGTTGGTAAATTTAGTAGACAAGTAAATGCTGCGATGATCCCAGCGATCCATTCGCCTCTGACACCTCTGAAGTGCTGCAAATACGTAGTTGAGAAGATTTTCGGTCTTGTCCAGATAATGACACAGACCTTGACTACTAGCTCCTTTAAGAGTCGATTGTTGCGGAAGCGCAGGCTGTCAAGAGGTGCCGTATAGCTTTTCAGTTTCCTGTGCATGTACTTAAGACAAGCTGATCAATCTTATTCGATTTGCCTGCGTGGACCACTGCTCAGGGTCAATGTGCTTCACCAAGCCACTCGGGTCCGTTGGCTTCGTTTATACCTCACAGAAGTCGCTACGTTTCATGAAAGATTCGTCTTGCACTTGTCTCTGGGAGATGGTGCCGACAGGAAGAAACAATCGCGAGGCATGATTTTGCCGCTCCTACTTCGCTATGTTTGCACCACGCAATCAATCCAACTTGTCCACTGGCATTATGGCTATCATCAAGGCACGTACTTGGTGTCCTCACAAAAAATTTCGACTTCTGAAACCTTAGCAGAAGAAGCTTGTCATATAGCTGTCGTACATTACGCACCCACTCAAAAGCCTGAAAGGTGCTATCGATGGGCTTGTGACACTTCAACTCTATTTTGTCGCTATGCACTTCTTCTCGGTATCTCCGATTTCCGATTGCTGCATCGAACAGCCTGCCAGCACTTTGTCCTGTCACGTCTGGAACAATATGGTCATAAGACGTCTGGCAATGTCTTAACAGTGATACGTGCATCCGGATACGACCGATTCCCGCTCAAACGGGTGGGCTAAACACCAGCAAGTATCGAAGCGGCTAAGATTGCCCCTAACACATCGATGTTCTCCTTACTTCCATACTTGTCTCTTCGTAGCATTCAATCGATATCCAGTACCTACGCTAACAAAAGCGCCAAAGACTAGTGATGATGTATGACTAACGATACCCGCATAAGGATTTTCGAACAAGTCATTTAGCATCACGATGTACTTTGCGTAGAGTCGCAGACACCAACGGCGCTGAAAGCATGAGAGAAGGCTGCCCCCTCCCATCTCTTTTTCGGCGCCGTTGGTGGACAGAGGAATACATTTTTGTTAAGTCTTCAGTGGCGTTAGCATCACTCGATCAAGAGCTGTAAAAGCCTTCGAGATACATCATTCGCCATTTGGCCCTCTGTATCTAAACACACTTGCTGACCACCATTTCTCATGAATCTGAACGAGATTCCGTTCGACGTGCCTGTGGTGATTCAGTCGATTCGCATGCAGACAAATCTGCAGAATCCGCTAGGGTCCGATAGCGCTCGTTGTCTGACAGACAATCGGGACATCTACGAAGAGGTCATTCTACACCGAATCTGCGATGACAGGATTGCCATCCAGTGTGGACACAACGGACGCTTTCTCCAAGTTCGCGCGTCTGGACATTGCGTATTTGGCCCTACTGAGCCTGGTGAGTGGGAGCTCTTTACCATGGAGACGGATTCAAGCTGCGCCCTCTACTTCGTGTCGTGCCACACGGGCACTGTCCTCCAGTGTGACAACCGATATGTTGCTCAGTGTGCCAACCAGCTCCGTCGGAGTCACGAGGCGTGGAGAATTGTAGAGCCCCGCACCGCTGCTGGCAACAAAGCCCGCACACAGCAAGTGTCGGAACAGTATCACACCCTATCAGGCAAAGAGCGCCAGAATTTGGTCGTGCAGCTTGCTAGATGCGGGAAAACAGCGGAGGAGATCAAGGATATTGTGACGAGTGTTTTTGATGTTCCAGCTTCCACTTTGCAGAAGGCGGTGCTGGCCGTTCCACTTCCGATGGAGTAGACGCGATGATGATCATTTCCCCTTCTACTCTCGTTCCACGACATCGCTGAGACGACTTGAAAGTAAAAGAAAAGAATTGGCCACACTACTGGAAGCTTACAGCGGAGGTGGCCTAGACACGATCGCTGTCGACACGACTGGGTGAGTGCGGATCGGTTCAATCAATACCTGGGTTGTTTGAATCCACTTATCCATGGTGTGCTTCGATGCTTCCTAACAAAACGCGACGCAGGGGACGATTTCACCCAACTTTATCTTTGTAGCATCTCCCGTCTTCTTCTTTGTCGTAGTGGCCGAATGACTTTTTTTTGAATGACTGATGTGCCGCTGAATGCCTCAAACAACGATGAAGCCAAGTCACACGATCGTAAGCTCTTGCGAGTGAATGCCTGGTGGGAGCGAAGGATAAGCTATGTGCATCATGGCTATGACACACTCGAATACTGGACGTTGTATAAAGTTTGGGACAACATGCGCCAGGCACTAGTCTGATCATGCTGGCGTAACGCAACGACGTAGCATCGAGACCTGCGCTCTAGGGTGCTGTCAACTAGCAAGCTGAGAATGCGTGTAAAACGACATGATCAGACCAGCTACATACTTTACTCCGTTATAAATGCAGATTACAAGAGCACGACATCGATTGCTGGCGCGACAACACAGCTGCAAAAGTTTCCGCTGACACAACACTCGATGAATATGATATGGGAGCGCACACGACCGAGCGCTAGCAGAGCTTAAGTCTCTCTAGTCGCGACTCTATTGAAGCGTCTACTCAAGCGTCTCGTTTACCATGATGACAATAGCTGAATGCGGCTGTGGGCAAACAATGACTTTGTGTGCAACTTCCTCCTTCATATGCTCGACCCACGTCTACAAGCAGCACGAATACTAAACAATCGCGCACTGCGACTCGGAATATGCTCGTTGCTCGTGCACGTATTTGGCGTATATTTGGCGTATACAAGGTTTTTGTCGATGTACCAATAACCGCTTAACGACGCGTCAGCTACGTTGATTTCCAGGGGCTGATGTGAGTCGACGTACCTCCTTAGCAACCTCAGAACTGCATATCACATTGGTGGACAAGCGTGAGGCGAACTATGATCTTTCTTGTTCTGATAAAGTAGTCAGCTGGTAAGCAACCTACGCCCTACGTGTCAGAACATAAGTCTCCTTTAACCGTGCGAGTGACCGCTTGTAGTTTGTCGAACTACATGTATTCCAATCGGTGAGCCACAAATGGAAAGATGCGAGTGAGATTGCGTTAGTGAAAGCCGAATGTCTCGGTAGTTGTATCTATGTGTGAGGTGTTTGCAAGTTTTATTTCGCGTGTGCGTATGTCCGGTAGACAAGCATAACGCTTTCTTATCCGTGACACTAAGGGCTACGAACAAATGAAAGGAGATTATGAAACTCCCTCCACGCTCGACAGCGTAGATAGCTTCCTAGCATCCTTCTCTTCATCATTTATTCATGTCGTCGGTTTGCAATTTGTTCATTTTGCATAGGGAACGAGAAGCCGTCATCTCTTTTCGTCTTTACCGACAAGCTGCTGCATCACGATATGACCATGCACAACCAGCGGTGAGTACATAACACAACCAGCGGTGAGTACATAATACAACGCACAACTCATCAACTAGCCGTCGACCCTCGCCGTCCGGTATGGGCACGTGAATATCCGACACTTTGATTACTGATCTGGATAAATTCCCAAAATATAAGATTGAACGAGTTTCTAAGCTTGCTTATAGATCTCATCGTAAAAAGTATCAAATGAAGCGATAGACTGATCCTGTCCATCTGTACAGCTACTCATTGCAACGCGAGTGTAGCTGCGCAAATTACATGGTATTAGACGTATAGACGTAGGTGCACTTGTGCAGTAGAAGTAGGAAGGAAAAGTAAAATATATTGAGTGTTAAGAATTACCTCCTTCAACACTACGATATGCATGACCAGAAACGGCAACTGCAACTTGACCATGTCAAGTCACACATGGTGTCCGTCTCTTCCTGTCCCATGTGACATCCTTTCACATGGCTTCCGTCTCTCACAGTCCCCATCTGTCTACACGTCCCATTTTGTCGATCGTCCCGTCGTGGTCCCACATGTCAAGTCGCACGGTAATCAACCAATCAGGTGACACCGTTCCATGGGATAGCACTTGAATCTTGAAACCTGTTAAACACGATAGTTTCTAACACTCCTCCTCGGTGTTAGCCTGTGTGGTCTTCAACTATAGCATGGACCTCAAGTCCTCCATCCTTGGCGCTGGCAACGACTTCGTCAGTATGTCTGCTAGCAATTCCTCAGATCGCACAAACCTTGGGACCACAGTTCCTTTCTGTGCGTGATGGCATATAAATTTGTAACGTATGTCCATTTGCTTGGCTCTCGAGGTGCTCTTCTATCACTCGAGTTGCTTGATCGCCGCTTGGTTGTCAATCCACATCGGCATGGGCTCACGTAAGCGTAGCGTCAATTCGCTCAGTAGTTCTTTCATGCCAATCAGCTCCCGACCAGCTTGCGACGCTGAGATAAACTCAGCCTCCATCGTGCTCAGCGATACACCCGATTGCTTCTTGCACAGCTACAGAACCACTGCACCATCCACAGTTAGTACACACCCTGACATTGACTTACGGTTGGCCTTGCTCGCAGCGAATTCGGCGTCGCTCCAGCATTCGACCCGCACATCCTCTGACACATGTCCATCACCATCCAGGTGCAGATTCAAATCCTTGGAAATCTTTAGGTATCGTATGATGCGCTTCGCGGCCTTCCAATCCTTGAGTGTCGGATTGTGAGTCTGTCTTGTTGTCTTGTGCACTGCAAAACAAATGTCTGGGCGTGTGCACTTTGCAATCCATAGCAAGCTTCCCACCAGTGACTGAAAGGACCGCACACTGGGGTCACCCTTCGCTACTCTTGCTGGTAGGTACTCAGCGTCCTCTTCGTCATCCGTGTTGCACTCGTCTCCGATAGAGGTGCGAACTTCATTGAACGACTCCATCACGAAGTCCCTCAACAGCAAGTCGATAGTCGGTTCTTGATCCATAACATAGCCGTTCGAGTTGTCGAGATCAATTCGTAACCCGAGGAACTTGTTTACAATCCCCAAATCCTTGGTCGATAGTGAGGTCATGTCTTAGAAGAAGTCGTCCACAGCGCTCTGTTTGGTACCCGTGAATAACAGATCGTCCAAGTAGATACCGACCACCGTGCATGGCTTGCCCTTGTACTTAAAGGATAGGCACATGTCCGTGGTACATTGCTGATACCCGCTTTGTCGTAGCATGGAGTCAAGTAATTTGCTCCACAGCCGCCCAGCCTGTTTAATTCCATAAAACGACTTCTTCAACAGCAAGGCTAGGTAATTTGAGGTCTTCACGTTCAGGTCCTTCATCTCTTTCTCCTTCACTGTCATCACCTTCGTCACCTTCATGTAAATATCTAGATGCTCCTCCTTTATAGCCTTGACGTACGCATTGGGTACATCACCATGGCGCGCTGGTACCTTCCAGCGTCTCGAAAGCACCAGGATCAGCTTTACCGTCCCCAAGCCCATGACCGCTGCGAACGTGAGGGTATAGTCCACTCCGAACACTTGTTCGTTTCCACAAACGACCAAACGAGCCTTGTACCGCTCCATGTCCCCGTTCGCGTCGGTCTTTGTCTTGTAGACCCATTTGTTGTGTAGCCATGTGCATTTCATGGTGGCACAACGAACTCCCAGGCGTCATTTGCCTTGAGTGCGCCCAGTTCTTCGGTCATGGCCAAGTGCCATTGGTTGCGATGCTTACTCTTCATCGCCTCACCGTAGTGTTTCGGATCTTGCTCGATGACTGCATTCACCACGTCGAAACTGTCAACCGAGGTATCGGCTTCGGCCATTTTTGTTTGACTCTAGGTTGTGTACCTTGAGCCATGGCGCTCTGTGGTCCATGTCTGCTTTCGACCCTTTCGAACCTTCTTGCCGCCCTTTACACCATTTCGATGATCTCGTGCACCCGCTTGAAGATCATGTACTGGCTCTTCCTGACGTTGTACCGGGTCAGGATAAGTCTTTCTACCATCTTGGTCATTCTGTGGTGCTTCAACGCTTTGAACGTCTTGGGTCACCACGACCATCTTATCCACTGAGATGTACACTTTGTATCCCTTCGTTTCGCTCCTTCGCCCAATGATGAAGCCCGCCTTCCCTCGCTCACCGAGTGATTTGTTTGTTGGGTCTCTGTGCACAGTTCATGTAGACTTAAAAACCACGGTGTCTGTCAGTACGGGAGCCTTGTTCTTTAGAATACCCACGGGCGATGCACCTCCAGGGTTGGACTTGGTCTTGCTTCGGTTCAGTATGTACGAAGCATACTCTGCAGTATCACCCCAAAACGTGAGCGGTAGTTTTGATGCAAAGATCATGCTCCGCACCATTTTCATGATGGTGGTGTGCATCCGTTCAGCCTTGCCGTTACTTGCTTGATTTCTCGCCTCACTTACTTGACGCGAGATTCCTTCCAACGAGCAGAAAATGTCAAGTGTCTCATATTCGCCACCTCCATCGGTGCTTAAGTCATAAATCTTGCAATCTAACTCGCGCTCGAAGGTCTCCATGAATAGCTTAACTTCAACGCGGCTGCATCTTTTGTTTTGGCCAAGAACACTCGACAATAACTTGATCGGTGGTCAATGAAATTGACCATATACCGATTTCCCAAACGATCTCGGGTGTCATGGGACCCTTGAGATCCGAACAAATGACAACCCCATTCGCGTCGATAGGTGAATTCGTGCCCGTGTCTCTCTTCGACTGAACTCCCTTGGTCTGCTTTCCCTTGGCACAGTCCAGACACTTTTGACGTATCAAATATGTCAATCGTATACCTGATGTCGGGTCTTTGGCCATATGGAAGATCGCGTTGAAACAAATATGTCCTAGGCGCCGATGAAAGTTCGTCAAGGTACCACACTGAACGTCCGAGACGAATACATGTTCA